TATATATGTATGTATATATGTATATATGTATGTATATATGTATGTATGTATATATGTATGTATGTATGTATATATGTATGTATATATGTATGTATGTATATATGTATGTATATATGTATGTATATATGTATGTATGTATGTATATATGTATGTATGTATGTATGTATGTATGTATATATGTATATATGTATATATGTATGTATATGTATATATGTATATATATGTATGTATATGTATGTATATATATGTATGTATATATGTATGTATATATGTATATATGTATGTATATATGTATGTATATATGTATGTATATATGTATATATGTATATATATATGTATATATGTATGTATATATATGTATATATGTGTGTGTGTGTTTTAAACCCATCCCACACTCTTGCAATATTCTAAACAATGTTTTTAAACTCTAAACGCTCTAAAAGAGCACAGCATGTCATTATTTCAGCTCCCTGCCACCTCTTGGCCACGCCCCCTTCTCCTCTGCAGAGCGGAGATCAGTTGATCAGCTGCAGGAGGAAGCTTCTTCTGCAGCTTGGGCTGCGCACAGGCACTAAATAATTTAACATAATTTTATTTTAAATAAAAATTCCATGCAGATCGAGCAGCTCATCCATCAATCAGCCAATTGTGTGCCGTGTCCACTCTTATTTTGAAAAACCGCAATAGAGCAAGTCCGCGAGAAACGAACCATAAAGTATTGAGGGACTACTGTATTAGCAAAATATCTGAACAGTTTTTAATGAAGGAGAAATCAATGATTGAAGGTACATCTACAACTGATTACCTTTTAAAACTAATTCAGTTCAACACAGCTGCCACAAATCACTGACTAATTTAGCTAACAGAAAAATGTCTAACTCAGTCAATTTGATACATTTTTAAAGATCAGAGAAATTAAACTAGAAAACTAGTGTTCAAGTTAATCTGACTGATTACAAAAAAGTATATTTAACTCACTCATGTTCCTTGAAACAATATTTTTCTGTATTTATTATGAAGAAATGCACATATTTACTCCTAATCATTAACTTTTGTGGGTTTGTTTTGGTCTTTGTAAATATAAACTGTATTTTTGGAGGAGCTGTAGAACTCAAGTTTTACAGCTTCGATGATGTTTGCAATATGTTGAGCTTAACTGCATGATTTTAACCAACTTGCTCAACAAATCTGATCATTATTTTGTCTTTTCATTGAATCACATCAGAATAAAGTGCAAGTTCTGTAAAGGATTTTAAAGCACTTTCGTTAGACGTTTTTTTTTTCATTGCAGAGAATAATATTGTAAAGAACCTCGACAGATCACACATTTATCAAAATCAATAAAAGCCATCTGTTGCTCAGTTATAGACGTCTGCACTGCCACGCGATGTTGTTAATCTGAGGTTCTGATTAAAAATAACAATAAAAATATACAGAATTAAAGATGGAAACTCTGGCTCCTGTCAAGTTGCACTCTGCTCTGAACTCCTGGTCCGGTGATGCAGAAATTAATTCGAGCCGACACATAATCATTGTGCCTAATGAAGCTTAATGGTCCATCTGAAGTGATTAGTTGCAAGAAATGAATATTATCCTCTGTAGAAATCTAAATGATGTGATCGTAGATGAACATTGTCATAAAACGCAGCTTATCGGCCTTTTGATGCCTCAGAGATGAATCTGGGTATCGGACATTCCCCTGCCTCAGTCCAGTGACTCTTTTTACTGTGAGGCTTTTTCCATTTCATCTTCCCTCCAGTAGTTTCAGGGAAACCTTTAAACTGCTTCCCTTCTTTCCAGTAAGGAGCCCAGTCAGCAGAGGGTGAAGAAGTGGGGGTTTTCTCTGGAGGAGGCCCTGAAGGACCCGGCAGGACAGGATCTCTTCCTCAAGTTTCTGGAGTCGGAGTTCAGCTCTGAAAACCTGAGGTAGGCACAAAGGAAGCAGCAGTTTAAAGCTTTTGTTTAGTGTTTGAAAAGAAGTGACTATGAAGCGAACACACCCCAGATTGTCGGTTTCTTTGTGTTCCCGTGTTAAAAATAAGATGCGGAGAATTCATTCAACATTGTTTGGTTTATTGTGATGTTATGAAGACTGGTGCATGAGAAAAACGTAAGAAACAAAATTCATACTATGAATAAAAGTGCTTTGTTTACATTTTTCAAATGTATCAATATACCAGAAAAGCTAATGGAGAAAAGGGTTTCAATTCGATATAGCTCAGGATAATCTCTTTGTTTGCGTTCAGAGTTTGCAGTGAGGATCAAAATCATAACTAAGTTAAATTACTACTACAATGTAAATACCGTACTTTCTGGTGTATAAGCCGCTACTTTTTTCACAGACTTTGAACCCTGTGGTTAATTTATGGATTATTATTTTTTTGACGTGCTAACGAGCTTCCTGCCGTCAAAAACATTTAGCTTCATCACACCCCGGCGCTCACATAGCTGCCCAATACACGTCTCTGTTGGGGGGCGGGTCCTCGTGACTCAACGAGACTACCTGTATAAGTAAAGGTAAAAAAAAAAAAATCTGACCAATTAAATTACCGAACAGGTCACAGTTGAACCAATGAAACTGGGAGGGGAGGAGAGAATGGGCAGGAGGGGGATCCCCCTGCGTGAGCAGAGCATGTGAGTCTCACATGCTCACAGAGCAACTTTTGCTCCGCGGAGCAGAAGGACAGCTTGAAGATGGCGATCAATGACTTCCTGGTAGGCTACTGTATTTATTTATTTTAACCATCCGTGTTACTGTCACCGTTATTCATTTCAGTTAGCCGTTTAGCATTGTTCTTTTAGTGATTAGTCTGTTCTTCTTAGCCTAGTTTGTGTTAGGTCATTCAGTAGAGTAACCGTGAGTGAGGGGAGGTAGTTGTCATGAAGACCTGTGGGGTTCATTCAGTCTGTGTGTTGAACAGTAAGTCTATAAAACACCACCTGCTGGTTGATTCTTCATCTACAAGAGCTGCACATCTCTCTCAGTAGCATGTTGCCTCATGTTGCAACGTGTGGCTTATTCACAAGCACGACTTTTAAATGTACAAAATTATTATTATTTTTTATTTAGTGTGCATGGCTTATAGTCAGGTGCGCTCTGTAGTCTGGAAATTACGGTAACTGGAAAAAAAAAACCTCAGGAAAACACATGATGAGTAAAATGTTATAAATCCTAAACTTCAATCAATCATTCAATCAAAACTTTTATTTCAGACACACATGGTCCATAGTAAAATAATAATAGAAAAAAGATAATACCATCAAGACAATAAAAATAGAATGTTCATCCATTGCCATATAAATTAAGTCGCCAGTGATTCCACAGACTAGAGAAGAACCTAACCGAGCTTTGTACGGGGTTGGTCAAAGTATAAAATTAAAAGAAAATTCCTCTTAATTTATAACGAAAACAAGGACAACCGCTAAACTAAAATTAGATCAGTCAAAAAAACCAGTTTAAATGTAACTGGACTGTACTTGTATAGCACCTTTCTATCTTATCGAGACACTCAAAGCGCTTTATACTACAATGTGTCCTCATTTACCCATCCATACTGCACTCTACTAGATCTATAATCAGTTCTTTATCACATGCATACACTGATGGGACACATTGGAGGCAATGAGGGGTTCAGTGCCTTGCCCAAGGACACTTCAACATGTGACTGCTGGTGGAATCGAACCCCCAACTCTTGCATTGGAGGACGACTGCGCTAACCACTCAGCCACAGCCGCCCTCAAATGGGTAAAATAATTATTTTATATTTAAACATGCTGATTTACAAACATCCAAAAGATCAGGGAAGTGAAACATAAAAACGAAGCAAATCGGCGACTTTGTTTTGCTTTGATTTGTCGTTTCGGTCACGTCTGAACGGGTCCTTGCAGGACTTTTGCAGAACCACCATCAAAAACATTTTAGTTTAATTAAAAGGTTTGAAGCAGAAACTTCTGAAGTTAAAGGGTGAGGGGTCACACAGTAAAACCATCAGTGTTTTTGGGTGTGGTATAGGACCAGGACTGGGAATAGAGCTGCACCGTTCTGATCTAGGAATAAAAACGAACATGTTTTGTGTTAGCAGAATTTAATTCTAACTTTAAAACTTATCCAACATTAATAAAACTTACCTCAAGTTGCCTTTTTGGACATGCATAGATTTGTACAAGTTGTACTTGAGAGGAGATTATTACAGCCTCATATAAATCAATGATGATGATGATAATTCAGCACTGTTTATATGTATCGGATCGGTATCGGATCGGAAGTGGAAAAAAGTGGATTGGTGCATCCCTAGAATAATTGAGGACAAATTAAATTTTTTCAACATTATAAAACTGCAGCTGATATAAGGTTCGTATGGGAAACTTTCAAAACTTCCACTACTCTCAATATAACCACTTTTTTTTTTTGACATCATTCTGGCTCCAACCTACAATTTTAACCCACTGAAGGAAATTAGGTGAATTTGTGCAAGTTTCCAGTTACCTAGAAACCTTAAAACACAAAGAAAACTCAAAGTGTAGAGGGATAATGACGGAGATGACTCATCCAACTGCAGCAAACTCACAACTCATCTACCGTTTGTCAACCATCTGATTTTTTTTTCTTGGAAGTTTGTCTTCTCTGACGACGGGTTAAATTTAGATCCACGTTTTTGATTTTCAAAAAAAAAAAAAAATTCACATTTTGACTATTCAGTTTAAACATAAATAGTTTGCATGCACATGCAGCGAGCAGCGGATGTTTCTGTGTGAATTAGAGAGAACTGTTCGGGGGTGGCAGGCTAGAGATGAACTCCTCCATCGGAACCTCTGAGGCAGAGAAAACCCACAGAAATGCACACAAAGCAAGATGCATCACTGTTCATCCACTGCGTGCCCCTCCAGACTCCTCACTCCGATCTCTAGACCTTTAATTGTGTTTGCTTTTATGAGGGAATTTTTTTTGGAGAGTTTCCACAGAAACATGGAGTAAGAAAATCAGACCCCGAGGTGTGCAGTCTGCAGATCAATACAGACAGAAACTAATATCACGAGTTGTCATCCGACAGGTCTGTTTTCATTACAATCCATTCTTAATGACGTTTGGATGGTTTCCAATGTATTTGCATATATTCTGGCTTTCATGCTCACGTGATTCTAATTAGAGATGCACCAACTGCTCAGCAGGACCAGAATCAGCAGATTTTAGGCTCAGATATTTAGTTTTTCCTCCTTCAGTGTGTGAATGCATCAAACCTAAGTTAATTTGCACCAGCAGGGCTGCGTGTGGACGGAGGAAAGTTGGTGATTTCTAGGGATGCACGATATTGGATTTTTGACCGATATCCAATACGTTAAAACTTATTTGGCCAATAACCGATACCGATACCGATATTTTCCCCCTAGATCTACTTACAGAGACTACACAGCTTTATCTGCTGTGGAATCAAAATACTACATTATTCTGCATGGTCTTTGTCCATTTGGCCTGCTACCAAATGCAGATGCCAGAAAGGGGGTTAACAATGATGCAACCCTATATAAATATAGAAAGAAATAATATGTGTATATCTATATCAGTGGATTATTTTGATGGAATTCAATTAAAAAAATACTTTATTAATCCCAAAGGAAAATTATTAGTTGTAACTCGTTATCCTCATTTCATTAAGAGTTGTTATAGATACTGATGGCTGTAGACGGGAAGGATCTCTTGTAAAGGTCCATCCCACAGTGGATCCTAAGAAACTGGCTGCAGATGCCGTCCGATCCGTCCACCCAGACTCTGCTGGCCTCTCGGTTCCCCCGGGCTGTAGGACCGCCTGAATGCTGGGCAGAACTCCACCCAGAGCGATGGCCACTCCTCCCAGCAGTCTGCCGAGCTCCTCGTCGCTGCGGACAGCCAACTGTAGGTGCCGAGGGACTATCCAGTCCTTCCGCTGTCATGAGCCGTGTTTCCTGCTAGTTCCAGGATCTCAGTGGTCAGGCACTCAGGCACAGCTGGCAGGTAGATGAGAATGCATCCAAAGAACATCCTTTTCAACTCATTTGAGATTTGGGGCTGTAGCTGAGATATTATTTGAGCTTTTGAGATGTTATTCAGCTGCTGTTGGTTGTAGAAAACTGCCTTGTTGCCATGGTTACGCATCATAACAAATGTCCAAAACTAAAAAAGTTTCAGTAAAAATCCTTCCAGCTCCACAGCATCTGATACCAGAGGAAACAATCATCCAAAAAATGTGACTTACATCCAGAAAAAGAGGAATTAAAGTTTCCAAAAGCAAAATCTCAGAATGGCCGATGTCCGATATTTAACTTTATCGCTGATATCGGCCGATACAAATACCATGCCGATAATATTGTGCATCTCTAGTGATTTCTAAAATACTTGAGGAGGGGTTAAAAAAAAAAAAGGTTAAGAAAGCATAAAACCTAAAAACAAGCCCAGAACGGCTTCTTTAGGTTGAATTATTGTGTCTTCTGTATCTGCTCATGTTGCAGGTTCTGGCTCGAGGTGCAGGATCTGAAGCGGGTGCCCCAGCACGAAGTGGCACACAGGGTGGAGGACATCTGGGCAGAGTTCCTGGCAGAAGGAGCACTCAGCACCATCAACCTGGACTCGCACAGCTACGAACGGACCAGCCAAAACCTGAAGGACCCCGGACGATACAGCTATGAGGACGCACAGGTAGGAAGGAAAACAAGACGCGTAGCGAGGAAACTGTCAAACAATGTGACGAGCGTGTGCATTTAATCAAACACTCTCCTCTCAAGTGATCCACTCACTCTGTACAATTCACCATGAAGTTTAGGCAAAATAACTAAAATAGTGAACTACGACCCATGAAAATAGAGTGGATATAATCTAAGTTGGTTTTTGTGCAATCTTTACATACATGGTTACATTCTTTATATTTCTATTTTTCAAACTGTTCAGGATCACATATACAAGCTGATGAAAAGCGACAGCTATCCTCGTTTCCTGCGCTCCAACGTGTACCAGGACCTGCTAATGGCCAAGAAGAAAGTGAGTGTTTCTGTCATCTGTGCACCAGTTGTTTGTTTTCTGTACGTTTGTCATAAATTCACCCAGCAGGCAGTTCAGCAGCCGAAGTGTTGCTTTATATACGTGCATTAATGAGATGTCTACAGAGGAGCAGGTTTCACCTTCGACAGCTCATCGCATCTGTTTTGGAGGAAATGATAAAATGCAACGCTGCATCTGTAGAAAGACGGCATATATCTAAGCAGCTCGAAACGCTAAAGGGAGCTGAACTCTTCCCCTTTCTTTTTTCAATTTGTCTGAACGTGCAGCCTGAAACGGAGCAGGGACGCCGCACCTCCCTGGAGAAGTTCACCCGCAGCGTGGTGAGTGTCCCGCTGCTTCTCATAAAACATCTTTCCAGCCACTTGAATGCACATCACCACGGGCGCCTTCAGCAAATATGTAAATGTGACTTCCCCCTTTTTTTGTACAGTAGGCAGGCTGTAATTTTTTTACAGGTTTGAATATTACAACCACTCTATTAAAATATCACAAATTCAATATATTTTACACTTTAAAAAAAAAAGTTTGCAGCACATTCAATTAGTTTTTGTAAAAGTTTTTTAAGTGGACTTACTGATGGCTCTGGAATTTTTTTCCCCAAGTGATTTTAGTGGTTTAAGAATTTCTTCAGTAATTAGTTGACTGAAAGCTAAAAGTTGCTCAGAACGTTGATTTGTCTAAATTCGTGACTGTGAAGAAATAATTCCTCTTAGGAATAATGAAGATGCAACATAGAGGGTCAGTGTGACGTTCTGATTAAGAGGATCGGCTGTCGCTTACTGCAGAAGAACTTGCTGAAAAACAGCTGAAATTAGCTCAAATAAAACATGCTGAAACGGAAGAGCAAGCCTAAATTAGCAGAAGAACGCAGAAAGAACTCATATTTGCTGAGTTAAATTTAAATAAGTAGACATTTGCACAAGAATGAGAAAATTAGCTAAAAAAAGGCTGAATTTAGAAAAAAAAAAATTGCTGAAAGGTAGCTGAAAAAGCAGAAGGAATCTTAAGCTACCAGAAGGAAGTAAAATGAGATAAAACGTGCTAAAAGTGGAATTAACTGAAAAGGCTAAAATTAACATAAAACCGATAAATAGCAGCTGAAATGGCAGAAAAAGCTGAAACTAGCAAAAAAAAGCTGAAAGTAGCATAACAAGCTGAAATTAGCTGAAAGAAGTTAATTAGGCTGAAAGTATCAGAAATTACCACAAAAAACATTAATTTATCTGAAAACAGCTGAAATGAGCTAAAAACAAAGTAACAAAGTAGTGGAAAATATTAACCAAGCTTAAATTAGCAGAAAAAAAGCAAAACAAACACATTTGCACAATTAGGCTTGAAGAAGCAGAAATTAGCACAAAAAAGTGGAAATTGTCTGAAAAAGGCTGAAATTAGTATCAAACAGCTAAAACGTAGCTAAAAAGGCAGAAAGATTAAATTACCAAAGAAGTGGAGAGTATATTTGTGCTGAATTAGGCTGGAAAAAATTGAAACAAAAAATGTGGAATTAGCCGAAAAGGATAAAATTAGCACAAAAACAGCTAAATATAGTAGCTGAAATTAGCAGAAAAAGCTACAACTTGCAGAAATAAGCTGAAAGGAGCATAACAAGCTGAAATTATCAGAAAGAAGTTAAAAGGAGCACAAGCTGAAGCTGTTTTTTAATATAATTTTCTTCTTTTTATATTTTCAATTTACCGTATTTTTCAGCCAATAAGTTGCGTTTTTCTTTTTCTTTTTTTTGCATAATTTGCATGCCCTGTGACTAATAGACCGCAGAAACGTATTTATGGATTTTTTCTCATATTTATAAACCAATTTTTGGCTGAAATACGACCGCTCTCATTCATACAGACTGGGGAAAAAACAAAGCAGTACCACTTTCAGCCATTAGATGGCAGCAGAGTAGTAGTAGCAGTAAGGCATGCCATTGTATCATGTAATAAGTAAATGTGGCTATAATGACATTCACAAAAGTTCGGTTAGGGTTAACACAATGACACAATAATATTTATAGGTTTTCAAATTGATGTTTCTCAGTTTATTCAATTATTGCACCTTTAAGCTGAATGTATTGGGCTTTATTGGAATTTTGGTTTTGCATTTTTCATCTTAAAGACTGTCCTCATCTTTTTTTTTTTTTTTTTTGCTCCAGGGCAAGTCACTGACAGGCAAGCGACTCACGGGCCTCATGCAGTCATCTTGACAAGCTCTGGGTCTCCAGCAGGACGACTCAAACCCTGATGAGATGCCTGCAGATGGGTAGCAGCTGGACAAGGACCCTTTGTTTGGGGGTGGAGGAGGACATGAAACGAGCTCAGACTGCCAGACTGGAACATTTATACCTGGATCTCACCTCAGATGAGTTGAAGACCGACAGCATGCAATAAGTCAGGAGACTTGACACCAGGACAGTGCTGTTACGGTTTAGTCGATGACTCCGACTCTTCTTTGGAGGTTTTCTTTCAGAAACCTGACCTGACTGGGGCCACACAGCTTGATTTCTCCAAACTTGTGTTAATATGGTAGCTGAAGAGGTTAACGCTTCATTTTGTAGTTAATATAAACATGGAATGCTGGAATGCCTTGACTGATGTCAAAATGAGACTTAGGTTAATGCTGTAGCTGTTTTATTTCACTTCACTGGGATGAAAAAGGAGAACGGAGGTTGAGAGGTTTACAGTAATCAGCAGCTGACCTGATGATCATGATGATGATGATGATGGTGGTGCATCATCATTTTAGTTATTTAACCTAAGGATCAACCGTGTTATACATGAATTTTGTTTCTTTGCACATCCGAGTGCAAAAAGTACAAACTAAACGGCGGGGCTGATGAACCTTTTGCAAATCTAAACAAATGTTTTAAAAACTAAACTTTTATTCTGAAGTTGAAGACGTTTCACTTCCTTTTCCTGGAGCGTTCTTGGTTAAAGCTGGTGGGTGGGGCGTTCCAAGCTAAACTACATGTTGCATTTATGCAGCTAAACTCACAGCAGAGTGTCGTTCGGGTCTTTGTAGGGTGTTTGGTATATATGGCTTCCTTTACCCCCTTTCAGTCTTCTCTGTCCCAAATATGAACTATTTATTTGTCAACACAAAATGTTGCACAACTGAGTCTGGTCCTAAAGACTCTCCTGTGTTGAGCCACGCGTCTGTGAAGTCAACTTTATTTGTAAAGCACATTTAAAACAGCAGCTGCTAGGCCTGTCACGATAACATATTTTGCTGGATGATTAATTGTCTCAGAAATTATTGCGATAAACGATAATATTGTTTGAAATGTTTTCTATATTATCTTAATTTGTTTGGCATGTAGTACCTTTTTTCGACCACCGGATGGCAGCGTGTCTCTAAAAAAAAATGGGAGGGTGGCACTTTGGAGCTTTGACAAGACGGAGGTTTTTTTCCCCTGAGATCGGCCTTTTAGCTTAGCTCATAGCTTAGCTGCTTTTAATGATATAAAAAAAACATGATTTGGGACAATTTAAACAGATTTTGTAGAGAAAAGAGAAAGGAAAGTGTCAGTGAAGAACACCGGAGTTGAGCCTTTTGTCATCCAGTGTCTTCAGTAGAAAGAGAGAGACACGAAGAAACAATAAAGCCGATAAATGAGAACGAGGCCGATAATTTTCATTTATCATGCGATTTATTGTTTATTGCGACAGGCCTAGCTGTTACCAAAGTGCTTAACAATAAAAATCAATGGGAGTAATTTAATGGGAAAAAAAACTAAAAAAACAATGAAAATTAATTAAAAGCATCAAAAGAAAAACTTAGAAACACAGAACAATAAAATGCTTAATCAAATGACCCAGTGACGGGTGTGTTTTCAGGAGAGATTTAGAAACAGGAAGTGAAGCGGTCCGTCTAATGTTGGGAGGCAGATTGTTCGAGTTTAGGGCCCACGACTGAAAAAGTCCGATCTCCTCTGAGCTTCAGTCTGGTTTTTCATACAACCAAAAGCAGCTGATCGGACGATCTCAGCGTCCGAGAAGGAACGTGTGGTTGAAGTAGCTCGGAGAGATGAGGTATGGGATGACTGTGCTTTAGCATTTCTTGTTAGCCTCAATGCTCAGACCTCATTTCTTTCCATGTCCACCAAACGGTCCTTAAGAAGCAGCTTCTTGTTGTTAGCATCCTCTCTGGAGACATGTCTTCAGAAAGCTTCTACTTCTTTAGCTGGTATGGTTTACACATCTGAACCAATGGTTGTGTTGTAGTTTTTACACACAGAAGCTTCGTCGTGCCCTGGGACCTCCAGTGTCACCGATTGTGTCCAGCAGAGTGCAGATCTGGTCGGGGGATGAAGTGCGTGGATTTTGCCACATCAGAAGCAACACTTCTCTTCATTTGGTTTGCTTTCAGTAAATATTTTATGATACATATTTAATATAATTTAGATTGAAAGGCTCATTTTGCTGTGCATTGTAACAACTTGCACATTGTGACCGACCCTGATGCAGGTCGTGATTTCAGGCTGAAGCTTGGATGTGCAGTACCATAAAGGGCTTGGAAAGGTCAGGTTGGGAATAATTTTAAAAAGTTCAACAGTCTAAAGCAGATTCATGAACATGATTATTGTAGTGATGCAAATTTTCCAGCAGTAAAATATTGTTTGTCACTAAAACCCAGAGGTGAGGAGAAAATTGGTCTCAGAAATCAACGAGTACTATAATTTTCACTGTATAAGTCGCAGTTTTTTGCATAAATTATCATGCCCTGCGACTTAAACAGCGAAGCAACACGTTTGTTTTTTCAACCCATATTTATAATCCAATTTTTTTGGCTGCGATCTGACGATTTCATTCATTCTGACATGGAAAATATTGAGCACTACCATTTCCAGCCACTAGATGGCTCTCGAGCAATATGGCAAGCCAAGTGTGTCATTAATAGGTAAAAGTGGCTATTAATGAGACACTTGGCTTGCCATAGAGACACCTTCGTCTCGCTCCAGAACTCCTGGAGCAAACGTCAAATCAGCTGCATGTCACCGCGCTGCCCAGGAGAAATTCAGCTGATTTGACCTTTAAAGTTCATTTATTAAGAAAAAGTTAAACCGAGACACACCTTTGATATAATTTCGAGCAAACAAATAATTGTTTTTAAGTGTTAATCTTGTTAAAGTCCTCCCATGCACGCTCGCGCAGCCGCCATTTGGCAGCCAATCGATCTTTGGCACAACCACGACCCACGTTTCCAGGTGGTCAGCGGTGACGCGTAATGGACGCGACAAATACGGCGACACATTTTTTTTTTTCCACTTTATTAGACATATTTGGACTGATGTGACTTAAACGGTGGCAAGTACGTTACTCTGACATGCGCCGCTCCTGTTGACCACTTCTTAAAATGTTCACTAACTGAGTAGCTCTTAGAAACACATGGCTCCTGATAAAACATTAAATTTGCTTTAACTGACCTGCTGGGAGCCAATTAATAATCCAAATACACTTACAACCTTGGCGATCCAAACTTTCCTCATCAAACTGTTGCACTAAAACTAGATATTGTCTCATTCACAGATTCATCAGAGATAATTTGATGGTTAAATCATTTCAGATTACAGGAGATTAAACCCATTTCACACCAGCAGCTGTGTTACTGTAAACTGATGAATGAAGGAGCACTAGGTTTCATCCCGTCTTATAAACATTCCACTTCAGGCAGCAGCGTTGATTTGTGAGCTGCTGTCTCACCATCGTTTCATGCTTATGTAAAGAGGACCATGATAATAAAACAATAATGCACAACGGAGGACAATTATTATTTCTTCATGGCTGTTTTAATTCTTCCAGGACTGCAGAACATGACTCCAGAGGTCCTGGGTGAGTGCCGGCTTTTAAACTACAAAGATGGTTTCATGCAACTCAGTTCTGCTGTAGCAGGTGAATACTGCCCTCTAGTGGCCGTGGATCACAGGTGCAGGGAAACAACCATTGATTATTGCACAGCTACTGATACAATTTAAATTTGACCCTCCAGTATCTAAAGTTTTGACACCAGTTTGCAGTTGGTATGTGTGTTTCAGCATTTTATTCTTATCTTTCTTTTAAAATCTTCAAGTCTCAACAGCTTCAAATGTTATGACATGAAAGTTGTCTCTAGTGCAACTTGATTCAACGCCTCAGTTTAGATAAAAAATGTTCCAGAATTATCAGTTTATATAGTCGAGGGGTATTTCAGATTCATGTGTTTTATCTTAAGGTGCAGCCGGGTCCATTTCCAACAATCACTGGGTAAAAATGTGGCGTACACTTTGGACAAAGGCAGCGTGAAGTGAACACCCTGGAGAGCCACAGGTGAGGTCCAAACTGCAGATTTAACCATCCGCCCGTACGCTGCGTCCAATAGATGAGAAGGGTTTCAAATAAGATCAAAGTTTGGTGCAACTCCAGACTGGATTAAGCAGACAGTTAAATTAGATCAGTTTTTAATATTTATGTAGCCTGCAGTCAGATAATTTTCAGTTTATCATCTTCCGCTTGCTCTGAAGTCGGGTCTCGTGGGGTCAGCAGCTTGAACAGGGAGGTCCAGACACCTCTTCAAGGTGTTCCCAGACCAACTGAGAGACCTAGTCTCTCCAGCGTGTCCTGTCTTCCCTGGGGGTCTCCTCCCAGTCGGACATGCCCGAAGCAACTCTCTAGGGAGGTGCCATTCTTACCAGATCACCGAACCAGTTCAACTGTCTCCTCTCGATGTGGAGGAGCAGCGGTTCTACTCCCGAGTCTCCCCTGATAACTGAACTTCTCACCCCGTCTCTAAAGGAGAGTCCAGCTACTGCGGAGGAAACTCATTTCCACTGCCTGTATCCACGATCTCATTCTTTGTCACAACCCAGAGCTCGTGACCACAGGTGAAGGTAGGAACGTAGACCGACTGGTAAACGGAGAGCTTTGACTCGCAGCTCAGCTCTTCACCACAACGGACCGGCAGACTCCACAACACTGCACCAAACGTCTGTCGATCTCACGCTCCATTCTTCCCTCACTCGTGAACAAAACCCAGAGATACTTGAACTCCACTTGAGGCAGAACCTCACCCTCGACCCAAAGAGAGCGGTCCACCCATACCAGTGTACAGGATCAAAACTGTCTGAGTTCTGAGTAGCAGAAGGCGTCGGTTATTTAAAACGCGTCAAACCTCAAATCTTAGGAGCTTTTCTAAACGGACACCATTTTGTTTTGGCTGCTCTCTTCTGCAGTGATTGAACATATATTGATACTTAACCCCCCAAAAGAGAGAAAAAACTCAAACTACAAACAGAGCAGGTTTCTAACATTTGAGAAAGAAAAAATAAATCAACAGGACCTGATTTTGAAGCCGTTAGATTTATTAACCAAACCTTACGCAATAAGCAGATTTAGGATTTTTAGCCTTACAGGTAAATAGTTATTTTTTGCACTTCAACTGCGTAAACATTTGAAATCAAAGTGTTTTCTATACTTGTGTTTTAGAACAAATACTGATAAGACGTAATGCTTGGAGACCACAAAACCCAGAACGGCAAATAATTAATTTATGTCCTACGATTGAAGGCCTTAAAATATGTTTTTATAAGTTTAAAACAAATTAAAATCTTCTGAAGTGGAGTTTGATGGAAACATCATCTTAGATGACTCTCTGAACCAGACCGAAGTGGATTCTTGTCTTAAAACGACTCTAGTCGAAACAGTTTCAGAAACCTGCTGTGAAACTTTTGGATGACATCGATCTCACCTGGACAGAACTTTTCCTACATTAAGCCATTCAGAGTTATGACAGCGGAGACATCAGTTTCTTCATCAAACCTTTGAAAAGCAGATTTTGATGCAACAAGACGCTTCCAGGTTCAGTTCTCCTGATTTAAATAAAGTAGGACGGTGGGCCCTGAGAATAAACTACTGAAAATGGATTTGATAAAAGGAGCATGGTTTAGAACAGCACAGCTTCAATCTTTATTTAAAAACAAACTTTTTTTTAGTAGTGTTCAGCAAGTCCAGCTGGACAGGAGAGAGGCTGCACTCCTTTAATCTTCAGGGCCTTGTTGAATTGCACATCCAAGGTCTTGGAGGCCTTCGTGATCTTCAGGTTCTTCATACAGCCTCTAAAGGACCTGCTGGTGGAAACAGCTGCCTGTCGAACGCCAACTGAAAAAAAAAAAATGTTTAGCACACTGACACAAGTATCTCCTAAATTATTTAACCCAAAGTACAGTATTTTATGGCGTATAAGTCAGTTTTTTGCAGAGATTTGTCAGTCCTGCAACTTATACGTCAAAGTAACTTGTTCTTTTTCCTCTCCATGATGAGACTTGTATGCCAGAAAATACAGTAAAGTTCAAGTATTCAGTTTGGCGATTCATTTTATTTAGAATATTATAGCTGTCATACCTGGAAATCCACCAACGTAGATGGGGTCATTGGTGTTGCAGGTGTTGGAGCGTGGATTGGGAGACTGGGCTTTGCTCTGCTTCCCATCAACCACCAGCTCTAGCTTGTGGCGAAGCTTGCTGGCAGTGACTGAATGCCACCGTCCATCACAGAAGCCTTCTCCATCAGGCACATGCTCTGCCGTGATACGACCGGCTCCATTGTCAACGTGGAACAGCAGCTAGAGGAAGGAGAAGGAACATTTTGGAGAAATTCTCTTGGTGGAGTCGAGCTGCTCGGAGGAAGACTCATTTTTTCCAAGAGCAAATGCAGCCAAGATGGTAAAATTGGTTATGAACGAGGAAAAACAAAAGTTTATTTTCAAGAAGATCTATAAACCACATGCAATCTGCTGATTAAGGTATTTTTGTGCAGCCACTAATTAACTGGGGGGCGGGGGGGGGCAAAAATTATGAAAGTTTGCTTCATTTTAAATGACAGAAGCTTCCTCTTAAATAGACCCTTTGCTAATTAACTATCATCTCCACAAATTGGCATTTTTGAGAAGGCCTAAAAAAAAAAAACCTAATAAATTAACAGAACATGACCCCCCCCCACCAGAATTTTCATTGCCAACTATAGCTGTCTCTATGAAATCACACACATATGAAGGTGTAAAATCATCAAATTCACATGAGCCAGATTACATGTAAAAACATCCTAATCTCATTTGAGTTAATCTGTTAAACTAAGAATGGAAAGCGATGAGGAATGGATGCTCCTCGTGTTTTGCCATTCCACACAACCCTCCTTCAAAAGTTCCTTTTAGATTAAATGCCTGTAACCAACAGCTAATAAATGATTTCTAATGTACATTTTACCAATTAAAATGTTTAATTAAAACATATTTTACAGTTTGAGCCTAAATCTGATAAATTAGTGAGTGCATTTAGCAAACTGTTGAAAGAAATGGAGTACCTTGCCCTGGACAATCTCCAGACCCAGTCCGTCATTGGCCTGGCTACTGACAGTCAGGAGCACGCCGTTAGTTCTACTGGTGCGAAACTCCAACGCTATCGACACGTCCAAGCCCACCCTGTAGGAGGCAACTGGACAAAGACGGGAAACGTTTTATCAGCACAGCTGCTCAGTAACAACTAACAGCTGGTTAAAATGTGTGGCAGCTCACCTGCTTCCAAATACCCAGTGCCATCGAAATATGTTCCCGCTTCAGTCGCAACGAAACATCTCCCAACCATGTGACTGGAAGTGGGCGTGGCCATGCTCAGTTTGAAGTCCTCCAGCTCAGAACGACCTGAGACAGGCAGTAGGATTAAACTCAGATGAGTATATTTGCGTACCGTATTTTTCGCCATATAAGTTGTACCTTTTGCATAAATGTACAAGTCCTGCAACTTATACACCGAAGCAACTAATATGTTTTTCCCCAAATTTATAACCCAACTTTTGGCCGAGATCTGACGATTTCATTTATTCTGACATGAAAAATGTTTAACATTACCATATGCAGCTGCTAGAGGGCCCTCGAGCCATATGGCAAGTGTGGCATTAATAGGTAAAAGTGGCTATTAATGAGACACTTGGCTTGCCATACCAAGCCACATTCGTCTCGCTCCAGAACTCCTGGAGCAAACGTCAAACCAGCTTCATTTCACCGCGCCGCCCAGGAGAAATGCAGCTGATTTGATCATTAAAGTGCATTTATTAAGGAAAAGTTCAACTAAGACACACCTTTACTATAATGTTGCGCAAACAATTGTTTTTAAGTGTTAATCTTGTTAAATTCTTGTTAAAGTCCTCCCGTGCACGCTCCCGCAATTTTGGCAACCAATCGATTTTTGGCACACCGGCCCACGTTTCCAGGTGGTCTGCGGTGACGCAATCATTACAACTTATACGGCAAAGTGACTTTAATTATGTTTTTTTCCCCCACTTTATTAGACATTTTTGCACTGATGTGACTTGTGCTGCGAAAAATACGGTAACTATGGTGACCAGTAAATCCCATGACATGCAGGGATCCATACCTGCGGAAGCAGACTTGACGCTCACAGGACTTCCAGCCATCTTGAAGTTACGCATGCATCCATTGATACTGTAGAGAATCTGGGAAAGGAAAAACAAAATTTAGTTAACTTTCACAAACCTCTATTTTGTGAGTAAATCTGATTATAAATCATACTGATAACCACTTTAGTTTAATACTCTAAACATCAGAACCACAACAAAGTTGCTTTTTTCCCATAGCCTTCTCATTTTAACCCCAACAACAAACTCATGAAAGATAAGAGAAAAGTAAGACATTACATATAAGCAGATATACACACACCAACCACAGTGCAGTCTGTTCAGAGTGATCTACAATCTGTGCAGTTAATGTCACCACCTTCAATGGAAGGATTCATTGTTCTCATTCTAAACCCAATAATTCAGATTTCTGAGATTAGCTGCCCAGAAGTAGTACAAGAGGTTAGCTAGCGCCATTCCACCCACAGATTTGAGCCTAAGACTTGATGGCCCGGACTGGGTGGTTTCTTGTTCCAAAGGAAATCCAGAGTTTCTAATGCCCTGAAGATCGGCCATCAGTGGTTATGGGCTAAGGTCTATGTCTTCATTTTTATGGGTCTGGAGATTGGACATGGTGATTTGTAGACTGCGATGGGTACTGGGTATTTGCATTTTTCCACATTTTCCTATCAGAGCACTTCGTTCTCAGACTGCAGGTTTACTTGTGGTTCCTAGAGTTTCCAAAAACAGAATGGGAGGAAGATCTTTCAGTTATCAGGCTCCTCTCTTGTGGAACTTACTTCCAGTTTCTGTCTGTGAGGCTGACACATCATCTACTTTTAAGATTAGACTTAAGACTTTCCTTTTTGATAAATCCTATAGTTAGGGTTGGCTTGGGTTTCCTGAGCTATCGCTTATTTGCTGCTATAGGCTTAGACTGCTGGAGGACAAACTAAGCCACATTTCTTGACTCTGCTGCTTACTCTACCTGTTTTGTATTTGTATTTATTTTTCTATGCGTGACGTGTGTTTTTGTATTTCTTGTAATAGGGGGACACCTGGACCTGCACCTGCCATTCTGTGTTCGTTGTTTCTACTTCCTGTCCTCTCAAACCAGCCGGTCAAAGCAGCTCGTCCTGAGCCCGTTTCTGCTGGAGCTTTCTTCCTGTTAAAAGGGAGTTTTTTCTTTCCACTGTTGCCTTTTGTGCTTGCTCAGGATGAGAGACAAAGTGAAGATTCAACATGTCTGCTGTCTTCCTTAGAGAACTTTTACTAATTGGCTTTTCTATGTATGTGAATGTTTCTGTTCAGTGCCCTGAGACAACTTTTATTGTGATTTGCCACTATATAAACAAACTGAATTAAATTGGATTGTAGAGTAGTTTGAACATACTTGCTTTCATCCCTGTGAGGAAGGTGCTACATGGCTGTGCTAATGCTATAGTTAGCCTTCAGCACCAAAGGGTGCGGTCAAAGAAAATGTTCGCTCTTTCTAACTAAACGCATTTCTGGTCTGAAACTGTGTCACCCCATCATGGAGGCTGCCTTCCCTTGATTTGGTGTGATCCGTCCACAGCAGCCAAGCACTTCGCTACATCAGCTTGCATGCTAGTTAGCTGCACTGTCGAGATCAAATAGTCCCACTTTTTGTAGAGCGATTGTTTTCTTACAGCGGTTTTGGAGCAATCACCACTTCCTTCTTAACAGACTCTTGAAATATATTTTAGTCACATTCAGTGAAACATGTTCCATCCTGTGCAAACCCACCAGAAGTCCCCCCCCCCCCCCCCCCCCCTCCACACAACTACAGAAAACACAAAAAAATGTACTAAACTGGAACATTTTTAACCGACTGATTTGTTGATGTTTAACTTGTTGAGAATAGTGGCTTCATTTACCGGTCCGATTCTCTTGGTAGTGTAGTTCTGTGGCAATCCACCAACATACAGGGTTCCCACCACATCCAACAGGTCCGCCTGACAGAAGACAAACATTAATTATTACAAAATAATAGTTAAACAGGATTAGTGGCTGATATTAAGTATCAATATTAAAGCTTACTTGTATAAAAAAGGATTACAGTTTGAAAATATTGTACCTTTTTTGGGCTGCTCATCTTTTTGCTGTACCGCCCATCAACAATTAAGAAACCTTGCTGCTTGTCACGATTCACACGGATCTAAGGAGAAATGAAGCAGGCTATATGGTCATGGAGGGAAAAGCCAGAAGTTGTCTATCAATAAGAAATGTGCCTTATTATGTTTTTTCAATGTGTAACGTGGCTGTGAATCTACTTCATAAGACAAAACCATTAAAAAACATTAGTTTCTTAAAGATCTTGTAATTAAGGGTGCATCACGTTTTATCACCGATTTTTAGTTGTATATTAAAAAATCCCCAACGCTACATCCAGAACAAATTCTGTTATGTATGAAATGTTTTATTCTCAAGGTTTTGTTGTTTTTGTGTGTGGATGTGGATTATCCTGAGTATGAATACTAACTTTGAGTACAGGAAATAGTTTATGCTACATTTAGTCAAAATAAGCTGGACAAGATCAGATCGGGGTTTAAAAAGCCCAGTATGACTGAAGGGCTGACGGGCTCGTACCTTGTGCCAGTTGCCGTCATTAATGGATAAAGGAACACAGTCCGAGATGTTTCCATGACCGAGATCATAACCGAGACAAACCAGTCCGTTCTTGATCTGCAGGACAGAGATGGTCACAGTGAACACACAAACACAGATGGTATTTATTTATTTTAGCAAATGAAACAAAGCAGCTAGAACCATAATTGCCGGTGTATAAGCCGCTACTTTACTCACACTTTGGCCCCCCGGTCTACATGCAGGAGTGGCTAATTTATGTATTTTTTAAATAATTTATATTTTAATTTGACAGGCTTCCTGTCGCTGAATAACATTTTCCTTTGACAGAGCTGGGCTGCTTGGCGCCCACCCCTCTTGGGGGCGGGCTTAATTTGACACGGCTCAGGTAATCGCATGTATCAAACCTCTTGCTCATGATTTTCCTACCCATAACTCCACCCACTCTGTCATGTGACCAGAAGTCTAATCTTTATGACCACTGAGGTACTTTCGAGAACCCATCCTCCAAGATAGACGTGCGTTAACGAGGCTACCTGTTTACAGTAAGCAAAGGTAAAGAAATCTGACCAATAAAATTACTGGACAGGTCACAGTGGACCAGTGAAACTTCTGATCACTAGCTACTGTAAATGTTAATGCACTCGCACTAAATTCTTCAGCTCAGTTACTGTATTTTACGCCTCATGCACAGACTTTGTTCATGTGTTCAGCGATAATGGAAAACGCACGGAGAATGTCTTATGACGCAGCTTTCGAGTTAAAAGTGATCGATCTGGCTGTCGAAGAAGGAAACGGAGCTGCCGCCCGTCAGCTTTGCATCAACGAGTCGATGGTCAGATGGAGACGCAAAGCAGTCAAGTCTGGTACACGTTTTAATAAAAGTTTTAAAATTCTTTCTATGTGACATGCTTCTGTTTATGGCAAATATGTGTTTAAATACCGGTACCTCTTTTAAGCTCGCATCCGGACACGGAGCGGAGACAACGACCGGGAGGGGCTCTCCCCACTCCCCTTCTGTCATGAGCTCAGAGGAGGAGGAGTCGTGTCAGATTTATTTTTAAAGCAGTCTATGAAACGCCATCTGGTGGCTGATTCTTGTACTACAACAAGAGCTGCGCATGATGCCAGGAGCTGGGTACAGATTCTGATAACAGTGGACACCTGCGTCTTATGTTCAGAATTATGTTTTACCTTAAATTCAGTATGCGTGGCTTACAGTCAGATGGGTTCTGTAACCCGGCAATTACGGTACTACTGTGATCTGAACCTCACTGAGAACAGGTGATGCTCACCTGTATGGAAACAAAGTCAGCGTGGTTGATTCTGGCCATGTACAGAACGAGACCAGACTGCTCCTTTGTCCTCAGCTCGAAGTCCAGAATCAGTCTGAGACAGACAGACAGACAGACAGACAGACATATTAAGTCAGGCTTCGAGTAATAAAACAAAAAGAAGGAAATGTCTAGTCTTGAATTAAATGATTTTCAGGTCTTTTAAATATTAAATATTAGGTCTAGGAGACGACTTCTGCTGTGAGTTGTGTCTATATAAATAAACTGAATTTAATTGAAAATCATATTTACTTTAGACAGCAACTGGCTTATTAGATTATTTATTTTAACGGCACCTTATCCACTAATAAGTCATTTTCCTCACAAATTTCAAATGTGGTCCCTCCTTTCCCTGAATGTCACAATATATAGAATGCAAATATATATATATTTTTAATCTCAATAAAGACAAGGAGAGGTGGAAAGGAAGCAACTGTGGAACAAGTAACCACACAAATATCGGAGTTATGGCGTTTATATGATGTTCAGTCTACAAACTTAAAGCTACAACGTTAAAATAACAGAAGTGAATAAATGCAGTAATCTTAATTATCATAATGGCTGTAATGCTGACCTCAAACTGAGGACAATTAATTATGGGCACAAGGAACATTAGGAAGGTATATCCTGACTATTGGGCACTGGAGGAAATGCAACTTCTGAACAGGTCATCTCAAAATGAAAACGTAAAAAAAACAAAAACAAAAGTAAATAGGAATATATTTGCTTAACATTTAGTTTAGGTTTGTTAAAAGATTTCTTTATACTAAATGGAGAAAAAATTACTTTCATATTTGTGCATAAACCAACTCAGATGACTAGAATACGCTTAGAATTAAACTAAAACGGTATTACTGTACTTTTTATTTACTCGTTACTATTTTTTCCATCGGACACAAACCAACAAGGGCTGTGATGAGTCCACTCATGTTCTATGAACCAGTTGTCCTGTATTTTATTAAGTGTGGCTCTCAGTGTGAGGAAAAACAACTGGTGGGCTTCACCGTGTTCTACACGTGACCACTTTACATCTACAGATCCTTCTACTGTGGTCATTTCCTGCCGTGCTAGAAAGCAGAAGAACAATTAAGAGGAAAAAATCATGTAAAATAAATACTTTTCTACGAAACGTACCTCTCTCTAACTTTGGTGTCATCGAAGGCGAAGCTCATGTGACTGTTTCTGGTCAGTCCAAACTGATACGCCTCCTCGAGTGCCACCGGGGCCGCAGCTGAAGCGCAAGAATCCTGGAGATTGGACAGAACCTGTCAGCTCCACAAACAAGGTCTCACAACACTGCTCCAGTTTCCAGTCGTCACCAGCAGCCGTAACGGCCAGGTTCAACGGCTGCCAATCACACTAATAGGGTTCCTGTTTCTGCTCTGGACCAGAGCTATTCATAGATCATAACGGGTCATTAAACACCACACTGGTATACTTACAACATAAATATATTTAAATATGTATATACATATTTAAATTTACACCAAAATACACAAAAGCATCAAAAAGTAGTGATAATTTACCTTTGAATTAAAAAAATACACTTAAAATGCTGTTAGGATTCTGTAAAATAATTTTATTCTGATTATTTCAGAAAGTAATTTCTGTTTCCTCCACAGCATTCCCACTCTTTGCGTCAGGTGGTCTCTTTCCAAGAAAGTCTTCCATTATTTTTTTATGTTGGATATTTTAGTTTGCTTTAAGAGTTTTTACTACCTCTTTTATATTGCAGTTCCACAAATGACCACCAGATGTCAGTATTGTAATATGTTTAGTCACATACACACACTACCTCTCTTTTCTCCTCTTTTTAATCCCCGTCATATTGTCCCATTAGAAGTTCTTGATTTATCATATGAGACCTTTTCTCTGTTTGGTACTAATTTTACATATTATTTCTACTCTTCTAAAAAGACGTTTTTAACTTTATTCCTTCCTCTCCAGTTTTCCCCCTACAAACCACTCATCCCTGTTTTAATCTTAGATTCCTCTCCTTTCTTTAGCTCTGAGCTACTTGAGCTTTGCCTGGTTTTATTTCCTCCCACAATCCATTATCTGTTACTTAAACCTCGGAGCTTGCTTTTTTAACTCTTCTACAACCAGCCCAGGTTTCCTGCCTGTTTGCCTTCTTTCTTCTGCTGCTTCCATTTTCCTTTTCTGCCATTTCCTAGTCAGTTCTTTAAGGATGAGAGTTTCATGCTGTGTTCTTTTCAGCTCAACTTTTTCCACCTGGTCACATCCTCTCCATCTTTTCCCCTATTCGTCACTTTGTCCACTCTTCAGCCTTAGCTTTGATCCATTTCCATCTCCTCTTTTATATATATCTGATACTCTGTCCTCTACAGTCCTGATATATTTTCCTTTTTTACTTCCTCTTCTGATCCATGTGTTCTGTTCTCATCCAAGAACCATCACCTTCCTCGCTTTTTACATCCTGATGCCTTATTTTTGTTTAGTAAAAACTCGTTTCTTTTCATCTCTTGAATATGCGCCACCTGTTAAGTGCTCCCCCTGCTTTTTATTCTTCCTGTTCGAGTGCGAGACAAAGTTAGTATAAGAGGGGATCTGAAAGGCTGCATGTGCCCATCTCCATCCCTCTCTTGTTCCTTTTCAAGTGAAGACACCCCCCAGACTGTGACCTTGCTTTGTTACAGCTGACACTCACCTCTTATCTCATTCCGCCCTCATATCCGCTCCTCCTCCTCATGCTCCCATTCTTCTTTTTCTTATGCTTCCCCTATCTAACAAGAAAGAGATGTCACTTGTTCTGGAGCCCTTTCCTTTCCTCGCCAACTCTTCTCCGTCTTTTCATTAAGCCAACAAAAGGCGAGCGCTGTTCTGTACAGAAAGCCCCCCCTCCCCCTCCAAAGCTGCACCTTTTCTCTCCACCCTGTCCTCTGCCTTCTCCCCTCTTTCATTCATTCCTCTCATCCCTTCTGCAGCTTTCCATTTAGCTCAAAATAGGAGGATGGTTTTCTATTCATGTCTTTGGTTGGAGGTCACATCAACAGAATCAGAAGTCTGTACTGTGCAGAAGAACCCGAGTGTTGAACAGAGTCGCCACCAATTTATGCATTTTATAAAGTAAGATCCATAAAAAGAAAGACCTAAATATACGATCTGGTCAATTTGAAGACTAGATAATATAACGGTTTGAAAATTCCAAATTTCAGACGTTCATGGAAATATTTCCCAGAAAATAGAAACTTTTGTGCATTTCTTGAAAACAAACAACAAAAAAACGTTTGTAAGCTCAATCATCCAGGCAGATAAATACAAAAAAGGTTAAATCAAACTGTCCAGATGACCTTATTTAACCTCGTTTGTATTTCTTGAAAACCTTTGCAGATTGTATTTTGTATCAAAGTGTCACATCCGACTCCCTAACAGGAATGAATTGAGACCTGAAGAGCAGGTCTTTTATAGAATCGACTCTAAATATCAAGATGCAGACTACGCATCTGTGTGTAGGTGTGGCTGTGTGTACCAAGTCTGTGCTGGGATCCAGTTTAGCAGTGGGCAGCGCTGCAGCAACAGGTGAAGTGGGCGTAACAGCAAGTGGAACAGGGGGCGTGGCTTCCTACGGGTCGGCAAAAAGCAGGAAAGGAGCGTTTAATGACAGCACAAAAAGTCAAAGTGATGACTGCTTTAGGAATGGTCATGAAAGTTATAAAACATGAAGATCAAGTTTCAAAACAATAATTTGTATCTCCACTATATTGTGTGAGAAATTACTCATCTAGTACCGTATTTATCAGACTAAGTCGCTGTTTTTTTTTCATAGTTGGGCCAGTCCTACGACTAATATTCCGAAGCGACTTGTAAACATTTTTTCCCATATTCATAAAGCAATTTTTGACCGACGCTTTAAATGTTCATTCATACTGACATGAACCAGAGTAAACTTTACCAATTGCAGTCGCTAGAGGCGCGAGAGGGCCGTGGGCTTACGTATGTAATTACCCAGTACCTTTTTTTCTGTTAGAGCCCAACAAAATTAATTTCAATGTGAATCTTTGATATAATTTCTGACGTAGGCTGCTAATCAGAACTGTAAGGATTGTGAAAATGTTCACAAGGCATTGTAGAAATATGCTAACGAGATTATAAACCAGAGAAAATGACGGCTCCATCCACAGCTGTCGATACCTTTGGTTCATAAAATAAACCCAGCGGTGCTTTATATTGTTCAAACTGTGACACACTGGACCACTCATAAGAGCAAAGTAAAAACAAATACTGTCCATTTTCCTGCACTTTCAGGCAAAATGAAGTTAATTTGCTGCAGTAACCAGAGTTTATCTTGCAGACGGGGGCTCAGGACTCCAGTTTCTCACAGTCTGGAGTCTATTTCATAAAGCTGACTAACTTGGACCCATAAAGCAACAGACCTCAGAGTTATAGCTGCAGCGCCACAGTTCTTTGGCTCCGCTTCATGATCAATGTTCCTTAAGAGGTGTAGCTGAGCAGCTAAGTGGGTAACTGGTAATCTATAGCTAATGTAGGACATTTATTAAATATGTGAAATGCCCATCTCAAAACAAGTAGTGTGTATTTTATAACTGACTGCCTGGCGGCTTTTTTAACATAGTGGCTAAATATTAGTTCAGAGCATTTGGCTTCCGTGCACTCATAAAATCATAAACAGCATCCACAGTTAGCCTAGCGGAGGGCTATGGCTCCGCAATGCCTGACAAGCTGCCAAAGGTGGCGTTTAGTGACTCAAGGCTAAAGAGACCATAAAGAAGAGGTAATGGGCTGTACAAGTACTGTGTGATAAATCGCCCGGCTAGCACAGAGCGCCATGGCTGCATGTCAGAGAGACACAGGGGCGCGTTGGAGCACGAACGTTCCCAAAACCAGAATATGGTGGAGCGAGGTGTCGTCAGTTCCTACAGATTCTTTGTTTCTACATGAGTTTATGATAAAAACAAATGCACTTTGCTGGCATCTGGTTTAGTGCATATTAAAAAATAAACTGTCTATATGAAAGTAACGCATAAACTAATGAAAATGATGTGTGAACGCTTATTGCTGAAGAACTCGCTAAAAAAACAGCTGAAATTAGCTAAGAACATGCTGAAATGTAGCTGAAATGGAAGAACAAGTCTAAGTGGGCAGAAGAAAGCAAAAAGAATACATATTCACTGACTTAGATTTAAATAAGCACAAAAATAGCTGAGAAGTAGCTGAAAAGGCAGAATGAAGTGAAAGGAACTGAGAAAAGCTGCAAAAATGTGTAATTAGCTGAAAAAGCTAAATTTAGCACAAAACAGCTAAAAAGTAGCTGAAACAGAAAAAGCTGAAATAAGCTGAAATTAGCAGAAAGAATTTAATTAGACTGAAAGTAGCTGAAATTAACACAAAAAAATTAAATTTATCTGAAAACGTCTGAAATTAGCTAAAAATTATTAAAAAAAATAAAATTAATAAAAGGTAGCTGAAAAGGTAGAACTAGCAAAACAAAGCAGAAGAACACGTTTGCCCAGTTAGGATAAAAGAAGCAAAAAATAGCACAAAGACGTGGAAATTATCTGAAAAAATCTGAAATTGGAAAAAAAAAAAAAAAAAAAACAGCTGAAAAGTAGCTAAAAAGGCAGAAAGCTTAAATTATGAGAAGGAAGTTTAAGGCACATTTTTGCTGAATGAGGTTGAAGAAGTTTAAATGATTGCAAAAAAATGTGGAATTAGCAGAAAAAGCTAAAATTAGCATAAAAACAGCTAAAAGGTAGCTGAAATAGCAGAAATAAACTGAAAGGAGCATAAAAAGCTGAAATTAGCAGGAAGAAGTAAGAAGCAGCACAAAAATGCTGTGGTTAGCAGAAAGAATCCGAAAGGAGCACAAAACAGCTGGAAAAAACAGCTGAAATTAGAAGTAGCTAAAAAAGTTTAAATTTGCAGAAGGAAGCTGAAAGAAGCAGTAAAAGGTTGTAAACAGATCTGTAGGATGTACAATGAGCTCACTTCATTTTCTATGAGGAAAAAACGTCAAAAAAGGCTAAATATTTAAAAAAGCTAAAGTTGCACCAATACCAAAAGCCATACTTCTCCTGAATGAGCTGAACGTTTTGATTCATGATTCGTTGAAATAGCAAAAAAATTTGTGGAACAAGAAAGAAGCTGAAAAACGTACAGAAGAAAAATGGATCACAACAGTGTGAATACTTCATAAACATTCACACTATTGATCACTGGATTATTAGAGATCTCCGACTTGTTCAATATTCTGTTGTAGCTTGTTTATAATAAACCCGTGCATACAGTCACTTACAGCAGGGAGACCAGGAGGAGGTGTGATGGGGGCCAGGGTGACTGTTTTTATCTCCTCCTTCCCAGGATCCTCCTCTTCTGGTAGAGGAGGCAGAGGTGGTGGTGGAGCCAGGTTGGGGCACTGGCCAATTTCAGCATTTTCAAAGGAAACAGGCTGGGAGAAATCTGATAATCTGAGAGAACAACAAGCAATTAGATTTAATGACGGTTATAAATTATGGCGAGCTGAAGATCCAGCTCTGTGCAAAGTCTCGAGACGTCTTCCACTTTTGTTGCTCTAAACAAGAGTCTTTCTTGCAGTCTGATGGAGTGGTCTTGATCATTAGCTCTCTTGGATTTGTGAAGGTCTTTCCAGAAGTCTTCTTTAGACATTGTTTAGACTTCTCATATTTTTTGAACATGACAAGTTGCACAGTTTGTGTACAAATTATAATAAATAAATAAAAATTATAGAAAGTTGAAAAGTGGAGGGAAAAAAGAAAAAGTTTCCATCTTGCAGCAGATTAACAGTATTTAGGAAATCCTCACTTTAAGAATAAGTCATCTTTCAGCTAACAGATCTTTGGAAATCACCTTGTTGGTGCTAAAATATAATTTGAAGTTTGTCAAACTGTTATTTACTAAAACTGTAATTTTGCCGAGTTGTTTGCCATGTGCAGACAAAACACTTTGAGATTCAGAATCTAAGCAATTCACAGATCAGTGCACTGAAAATGAGAAGATGCAACTAAAGAAAAATGTTTATAAAAGGGGTTGCATCAGGTGGGCAACAGACGAATACGTTGATGTAGAAACATCATTTAATTCTGAGTTTATTTATGATACCAGCCAGCTGAAATACAATTCAATAGCTTTTATTGTCAACATTATAACTACTGATTTCCTGTGATTTAATTGCTACTTGTTGATCTAGAAGAATGTGTAAAATTAACTGTCATCCCTGGTCAAATAAATTCAAAGCCACAACTTAGAATATGCTACTTATCATTTCTCTCCCGTTTGAGAACTGATCATATGAATTTGAGGTGTTTTTTAGATTCCCTCCACATTTCTCTGTAAGAAATCTATAAAGTTTGCACAATCAAAACTTGGAATTTAAGGTGATCCCATTTTCTAAGTATAAACACAGAATAAAAATGATCCTATTACCCAAATCCAACATCAAATCTACTTGATTCAACTTATTTAAAAAAAAAAAAAAATCCTTTGGTCTTGCCTTTAAACCTGAAGTTTCCTTAAAGTTTTACGTACACAGCATTAACCATGAGGTTCCAGATGCATCCCCGGAATGGGACGTTGGCTCTGTTGGACGTCTGCTCAACTTCTGCAGGAATACCGCCGAGGAAGACGCGCTGCAAGCTCATCGGCTGGTCATTAGGGAGCGCCGCCTCCCTCTTGGGCTCCTCATCAACCTGAACCGTAAAGAATCTAACGAAGAACAGAAATAAACGCAGAAGCATCAATTAGGTTGAACCACAAACGGAACAAATCTTTGCATTCTCGAGAACATCCACAGACCTGCCAGGCAGCCTCTCTATACGCAGGGAATGCTCTCTGCCATCGTTCAGCATCCCTTGCTCGGGGCGTCTGATGACCCGACGTGGACTGTGGCTTCCGGTAAACATCAAGACCTCGAGGGATCCTTTGTTCAGCATCACTGAGAGGTAGGGCTGCAGAAGATGGAGATAAACTTTATCAAGAGTAGAACATTTTATAAAATCCAGAAGACAAAACATACTTAATTTATGATTTTTAATACTATTTACAGGCCAACTAACAGACTTTATAACAATATGAAGAGCCAGTCCATTCTACTGATGGATTTTAATCAGAGGTGTTGAATTTTATTATTGAGCCTGTGAATGTTTGCGACTACTTTGCAAACAGCATTCACAGAGGAGCCTCCAAAGTGTCTGAAATGTTCTCAGCAGTGCTTAATTTGAGCTGGATCCTGCCAGAACAAGATTCAGGAACGCCCTTATTTTGACAGGGTGCATTCCGGTAACCTTTACAAGGATCCGGTAACTCACAGGCTTACTAATTAATAATAAAATTATGAATAAATACGATGGCCTTTAACGAATATAACTTATATTGGATATGTGAACTGAAAATAATTACATAAACACTAATTTTAAACACAACCGTCGCATATGAGCTGCCTCTTCAAGTAAGCATTTCTGCCTCTACCCTTGAAAAACTCTCAGCCTTTAAAAGAGTGGTGGTGGTGACAGGTTCAACCTTTATACAGGTTAATCCCATTGAGCCTAGGGGGACGGACTCATTTACAAGAGACCTGAAACGTGTAGTCAAACAGTGAATTAATCGGAGAAGAGTTGACTCGGAACCATCAAATAAGGGGGATGAGGGCTAGGGTGCTTGAAGCGTAGTGTTTACAACTGTAGGTGTATGTAGATGTTTAACAACCCGTTAAAATAAACCAAAATGCAGGAAATTGCATCTACTTTATTCAAAATTTTCTAAAGGATGACCCACCGACCCCCCCCCCCCTCTTTATGGGAATGTTTTATTCACGTTTTATCGAGTCTCTTAACTTTTATCTTCATCTGTTGGTTTGGACTTTTGACATGTAAAAACAGGAACAAACTCTCAGGGATAGTCAGGATGTGCAGCAAAACTGCTGGCATAGCCCTACAGAACCTCACTGACCTACAGAACCTCACTGACCTACAGAACCTCACTGACCTACACAAGGCGAGGTCAGTGAACAAGGCCAGGCTGATTCTGGCAGATCCTGATCATCCACTCCATGATGAGTTCAGGTTGCTTCCATCTGGACGCAGGTATCTGCTGCCCAGATGTAGAAGAACAGACTAAAAACATCATTCATCCCTGTAGAGATCAGGCTTCTCAACAAACGGTGATGATTTACTGTTATTTTAATGTCTCAATGTCTAGTATGGATTTTGGTGCGCCTACTGACTGTGAAACAAATTGCCCCTTGGGGATAATAAAGATTCTTGAATTTGAACTTTGCGATTGTTCTATAAAAGCAACCAGCAGTTGATTCTTGCAAAACCATAAAGAGCTCAGTAAAAATGCATGGCTTTCAAACTTTTAACTGACCTCATTTGTAAAAGCTAATACGACTGTCCAGTTATTAGTTTTAAACTCCATGTGCTGTTCCAAATGCTAAACAAAGACAGTAACTGCTGTGAAATAGTACCAGCTCAGTGAAAGTTAATTGGTAATCATTAGTAGTTGCCATCCGTGTCATTTTCACAAATAGGGATCAATACAATGGCGCCCCCCTTTAAAGAAACCTTACATTCATGTTGCTGTATTGATGGGTGTCAGGAGAGAGAACAAACGTGCAGTAAAAGGTGAACAGGAAGTAAAACACTGGGTTTAGAGAAAAAAATGAGAAATTTGAGATGAGCAAGAAGCAGATAGAAATACGGGAAATGAACCTGCGAGGATGAAAGAATAACACGAGGTGAGAGGAAGAGAGAGGAGGAGATAATGGGGGGTGGGGGGAGATGAGAGGGCAGAGAGCAAAGCAGCGATTGGTCGGGAGAGAAAGAGTGAGACAGTCACCGAGGTGTTAGAGAGCAGTGGTGCGGGGTCAGGCTAATTTGAATTTTAATTCACTGTGTGCCAGAGGGCGAAGTGGGAGACAATTTACCACCTGAAAATGGAATTTCAATTTAAGGTCGGGGACAAATTGAACCGAGATGTAGCTACAACACGGCGCTCACTGCACCGGCTCACACTCAGCCGCCGATACAAAAAGGGATGTACAGGCAGAGGAGCAGACGCATGTCGAACATACAGACAAAAGCAACAGTTCACAGATAAACTTATAAAAATTAAACACGGTGAAGGACAGACATTCAGGAGCATGGAGGTGGTATAAATATGTTTAAAATGAAACAGCGCAGGGTGGAAAGAAGCAAAAACACTTTCCATACAAAAACTGGACAACCTGCACTTCAGTGAACAAAGTATGCTTTATGTCAGTATTTTTGAAAGTGGGGGGCCCAAGCCCCCTGGGGGAGCCCAGAAAGATGGAGGGAAGGAGGAAAAAAGAAGCAAAAAAGAAGCAAAAATAAAAAATAGTAATAATAATAATAATAATAATAATAATAATAAATGCCCACTAGGGCAATCTGTATCTGTCATTTCCAGATAAACACGCTTGAGAGGTTAGATTTGTTTTGTTTGTTCTTCTGGTCAACAGTTTGTTGAAAAGTTGTTGTTTTTCAGTGGAAATATAATACACTGTTTAAAACATGTTAGTTAATAACATTTTTATGCTCACCGGCTGTAATAATTAATTGAATATAGTGAATAAAAGTTAAAACATTCTAAAAGTTGATGTTTCTTTACATATTTTGTAGCATTGTTTGTAGGTTTGTGAAGGGGGCCTCGGCCAGAAGCTAATGCCGTTTGGGGGGCCATGGCATGGAAAAGTTTGGGAACCTCTGCTTTATATTATCCTGAAATTAGAAATCTAATTTTGTTTTATCTTGTTGGTATATCTTTTTTTTAAACTAATGATTCAAGCACCAAGAGCAATAACTTCTAAATCGGGGTTATCAAAGTTTTGGGGTTCAGGGACCCCCTCATAACTCTCATGTTTATTAAATAATTATCTTCAATTTGTTTCTTTAATGCAATGAAACTATTTGTGTAACATAAATACTTAAGACCTGTTCTTTAATAGAGTTAATACAATTTTTATACCTTTAAACATGGGGTGTTTGTCATTCAAGACACTTAACAAAATTTTTAATTTCAACTTCCAAAAATTAGAGTTTTGAGAAAATTAACTATCTACAACTACTTTGATGCTGGAACGCAAAAAGCGGGTGGTGAGAGGGGAGGACCTCCTCCAGAAAGTTTTGAATAAAGTAGATGTGATTTCCTGCATTTTGGTGTATTTTAATGGGTTGTTAAACATCTATGCGCTTGTAAAAAAAATAAACATTGCGGACCCCCAAGCACTGGGTTGCGGACCCCCGGGTGGTCCGTGTACCGCAGTTTAAGAACCGCTGTTCTAAAAGAAGCACAACAACTGCAGCGGTTTACTTTAATGTGGCGTAATTTCTGTCTTAAATAAAAAAAAAAAAAACATATTTCTGATGGAGTTTAGCAAAGTCTGAATATCCTTTTTTAATGAGAATTTAACCAGAAACGCGTTGTGTTGTAGATCGCTCCACTTTGATGATCACATTTCTGACACCAAGCACTTCCTGGTAAATATGCAACATTCATAAATAGACACATCTTTTATTCATTCATATGAAAATAATCAGGACAACTATTTTTTTTTTTTTTTAATCTTTTATCTTTCATGTCTCCTTTGAGCTCATTTCCCTCTGTTCATCTTTTCAAATCTAATTTTTTTTTTTTTTTACATTCAGCTCTTCTTTCATCCCTGCTCTTGGCCCAACTTCTTCTTTCGGTTTACTTACACCTTTAGTCTTTCCACCTCCTCCATTATAATTCTATTTTCAGCTCCGTTTCTTTCCCCTCTGTATCCCCCACCTGGATTTCTCCTAGATTTGTCCTTTTCCCCCTGTCGTCCTCTCTGTCGGTCCCTCTCCAAACCAGCCATTAGTCAGGGCCAACTTGAGTTGATGGTGTTTTTAACCTCGCTTAACCTTTCTCCACACACACACGCCCTGCCTGCCAGCATAGTTAGTAAAAATAGATTTATGCGCCTAACAACCCGAGATGATGGATAAGCTGGAGGTAACCCTTTGTCCTCATAAGCAGAGACACTTTCTGTTTTGCATTCATGTGAGCAGCATCCTCACACAGATGTGCTGAAAAAGGCTTATAAAAGTGGAAACGATGCATGTATAGTATATGATGACATGCTGCACATTTTGATTTAATGAAATTGTTTTTGCAACATTATACACAGAGTAGGTATTTTAGATAAATTAGCTTAAGTGCCAACAAATGCAAATCTCAATAACAGACACTCGTGCAATCATCACAAATAGCATCACATCACAATGAACCCACCTCTCCTGATTGTCTTCGTCTCCTCTTGGAGTTCGGCTTGCGAGGCTGTGGAAAAAATAAAATAAAAATGAAAGGGGGAATAGCTGCAACATTTTCTGAATACATTTTAGTCGTCTTGTTTTTTCAGATAAGTTGTTAGTTTATTTGATGAGTCACACACAGTGACATCATCTTATGGGCGGAATGCTTTGAATAATACAAAATATGCTGAAGTATAAAGATAAAAGGCTCAAAATGCAAACTAACAAGTTCTTTAATATTTATATTTAAAATCATTGTACTAGTAGCTTGCAGTTTTCTTTATTGTTACAACTCATATTTGCAGATAAATACGTTTAGTAAAATATCTCTTATTTTCACTTTCTTGTGCTTGTTTCTTGTGCTTTAAGCAAAATGGCTGAGAAAAAAGCTGAAATTAGCTATTAAAAAAACATGCTGAAATGTAGCTGAAATGGAAGAACAGGCCTAAATTAGCAGAAGAAAAAACACATATTTGCTGATTTAGGTTTAAATAAATAGAAATAAGCAAAAAAATGCTGAAAAGTAGCTGAAAAGGCAGAAAGAAGCTTAAACAACCAGAAGTGGCATGAGCTGAAATGAGCGAAAAATGTGGAATTAGCTGAAAAACCTAAAATTAGCATATAACAGCTAAATAGTAGCTGAAATAGTAGAAATAGCTGAAACTTGCAGAAATCAGCTGAAAGGAGCATAACAAGCTGAAATTGGCAGAAATAAATTAGAAGCAGCACAAAAAGTTTTTGTTTATCTTATTTCCTTATATATTGTTTAACATTTTAGGAACTTTTTTTGTGAATCTTTTTATCTGTTGCTGCTCATCCATGGGACAATAAAGGCTGTTTCTATTCTATTCTATTCTAAAAGGTTGTCGTTAGCAGAGAGCATCTGAAAGGATCACAAAACGGCTGAAAAAATAGCTGAAAGTAGCTAAAAATGTTTAAATTTGCACAAGGAAGCTGAAAAAAACTGAACCAGAGCAAAATATCTCTATTTTATCTCTATTCCTGATATTAAATAAAGTGTCAGGGCGAAACACTGTTCGAGTAAATGTAATTATAATGTTTAGTGTGAAACTTAACAGCAATATAAAGTTTAATAGCTTCTAGTTTTAATGAACTGTTTAATTAAAAGCTGCTTTTTTTCCTTGAAAGTGACAATGAAGTGTGTCACTGAACAGAAAAGATGAATAACCTCGTTGCTGGTCGGTGAAGCTCCGCCCACTGCCAGTAGGATAGTCCCAGTGTCCTCCAGGGTGCTGAACGACAAGCTGATCTCTGTGTCGACGGCGAGGGAGAAGCCGTCCAGCTCCATGAATCCCGGCTTAGTGAAACTGACCGTGTACAGGTTCTGTGAGGAAGAGGAGGAGTTCTGTTACACGAGCTCATCCAGGATCCGTCGTGTTGACGCAAAACTCAACAGGTAGACGGAAAAATTTAACTTGGTGACGAAAAAGGGCGACTTCTAAGAAATAATTTGTATTTCCAACTTAAATGATTTTCTAAATTGTTTAATAGTCACACAGGGAAATGTATTTTAAAAGACAGATGTTTTTCCCTCCATTGTTTTAAAGTTGCATTTTGCCTCACAACATTGTGTTTAACAGATATTTTCTGTCACTGTTCACACCTTTTAACCGAACCTCACTGCTAACAGTACCATGCTGCTAACTGGACCATGGTGCTAAGATAACTTCACTGTCATCAGAACCACTCTGCCAATAGGACCTTGCTGCTGTATTTACTTCTTTTTCACTTTTGGCGCCTTGTTTCTGTATTTTTGTTGCATGATTTGAATAAATCCCAGTTTATATTACTTTTGGGGCTCCGAGCCCGACTCCGCTCGCATTAGCGTGTAAATTATAGCCGAACAGAACCTAAGAGAATCGTGCTGCTGTTGTTCGGTGTATTGTTCTGCACTATTAGTGACTGGCGTATATCTTAGATCTTTCAGCGTACCATTGGGTGTTCGTTTAGCGTATATCTTAGTTTATATCTTAGATCCTTATTTACCGTTTCTTCTTACACTTTATATTGTTGCCATTGTTTGATGTAACTGGGACCCTGTGCACACAATTTTGTTCCACCTCATGTGCCACATGCGATGTGAATGACGAGAACCTTGAATCCTTAATCTCATTTGCACAAGCACTTAATTAACTTCTTCCAAACTCACGTTAAACTGAAGTCAGTATTGCGCAAACATCAAACCAGTTTTTAAACTTTAAATCTTAACGATTTAAACGTTCTCTCCGTGCATGCGTGGGTTTTCTCCGGGTACTCCGGTTTCCTTCCACAGATAAATAACATGCATGTTAGGCTGACTGGACTTTGATGTGAGTGTGAACTGTTGGCTCGTTTGTCTCCATGTGTCCCTGTGATGGACTGGAGACCTGTCCGGGGTGTCCCCCACCTCTCGCACAGCGACAGCTGGATATGGACACCAGCGACTCTGAACATTATTATATTTTATATATATTATTATATTTTCTGAACATTATTTTAAACTATCCACGTGTGCAACTAAAAGGCCTGAACTAAACACTAAACCCAGAACCTTTATCATCCTTCACACACTCCACACTATGTGACCAGAGTTGTTTGTGTGTGCATGAATGGCACTGGACTATAAAATTCACGACGAAGGCCGTTCCTTGCATTCAAACTTTATAGCAGGTTCAGTGCAAGTGTGTGTGCATAATTGGACTGTATAAATTAATGCACGTGTGGGGGAAGGAACAGTTAAGAGTTTGAACTGGCCTTTGCTTTGATTGACCTCTCTTGGATTTATTATTTACATGAATACTGAGCGAGACCAGAAGTGAATGACAAAGAATCAAAGAGAAAAGTGAAAAAATTAAGTGAGGGGGTCAAGAATGAATTAACTTGAGTCGGGTCAAGCAATTATTCCCTGTCAAGGGTTGATCAAAACTTATTTCCTGTATGCGTTAACTTGTGTCACTACCAGTACTCATACACATTATAGTGCATGTTATATAAAATATTAATTGAATATACATTTAGGACAGTCAGACCTTTGTAAACCCACCTGTTCATTACGGTGGTTCATGTCAGAAGCTAAGCCTTACCTCCACATTACATCCTTTAGTGACTCCTGTATAATCTGAGCTGCTGAGGAGATTATATGGAGTTCTGGAGACTTCAATATCTCGCAGACAACCGGCGTATCTCTTCAAAGTCACCTCTGACCTACAAAAGGAGACAATTATTTTTATTTTTCCCATTCAAAAAGAAAAAGAAAATGTAGTTAAGGGGACCTCGTCTCTTCGGCGCAAAGCTTTAAAGAAATTTGCAGGATTACTGCAGCTGTGAAACTATTGCATCATGATTGTGTTTCCAGCAGCGAAGTGACGTCTGGAAATCAGAGAGAAAAAATAATCTGAATATGCTGTTTGTCCATATTAATCAAGTATTCCAGTTTGTTTAGGATAATTTGAGTTTATAGTTGTTACATAATTATTCAAAAAGAATCTGCCTCTATAAATCCTGCAAAACCTTGTTCTTGCTGGGGCTCAAAAGAAACCTTAAAAAGATTGAAAATATGCAAAAATGTTTAGTAAATAAGGTCTGCATGGGGTAGAGCAAGAGATATGAGAGTTTCTACATAAATGTTGAGGAACAAACATCAGATTCAGATTAATGAAGGACAGAATAGTTGCTTATAGCTGCCATGTGATGAAGCGACATCCTAAGAAAAACTGATGCATTAGCTGTGGGCTGCACAGAAGTATTGGCACAGAACAGCATCATGCGGTAATGAGATTTTTCTCAAAGGATAAGCTTAAAATGTATTAACAGCTTCATACAATAAAATTATTTATTCATTTATTTATTTACCTGGCTGCCATGCTGTTAAAAACAAAACATATTAAGGCATTAGCACACTTCAAACTCAGATAATGAGTATTATAAAACAAGTTATTCAAAGAAAACAGTTATAATACAGTTTTCATGATTAAAAATCTTTTATCGTATTTTTTGCTGCATAAGTTGCACCTTTTTGCATAAATTTGCAAATCCTGCGACTTATACACCGAAGCAACTAATATACGTTTTTCACTCCATATTTATGACGCAATCTTTGGCTGAGATCTGACGTTTTCGTTCATTCTGACATGGAAAATATTGAACAGCAACATTTGCAGCTGTTAGAGGGCCCTCAAGCAATATGGCAAGCCAAGTGTCTCATTAATAGGTAAAAGTGGCTATTAATGAGACACTTGGCTTGCCATACCAAGCCACCTTCGTCTCGCACCGGAACTACTGGAGCAAATGTCAAATCAGCTGCATTTCACCACGCCGCCCAGGAGAAATGCAGCTGATTTGACCATTAAAGTGCATTTATTAAGGAAAAGTCAAACAAACACACCTTTGCTATAATGTCGAGCAAACAAATAATTGTTTTTAAGTGTTAGTCTTGTAGAATCCTTGTTAAAGTCCTCCCGTGCACGTTCCAGCGGCCGCCATTTTAGCAACCAATCAATTTTTAGCACAACACCGGCCGAAATGTCCGGGTGGTCAGCGGCAACGCATATTAGATGCGACTTATGTCGCAAAGCGACTAATTTATTTATTTTTTCCACTTTATTAGACATATTCAGACTGATGCAACTTATGTGACGTGTATGGCGACAAGTGCAGTATACACTTTTAATAAAGTTAATCTATTGAGGCAAATTGTGCATTTGAAACAGAGTGGCTCGATGCGTTTGTGTACCTGTAGTTTCCAATGGTTGGCAGTCCACCAAAATAAATTCTTTGGTTTTCCCTGAGATTCAGACCGGTAGCTGAACCCTGAGAAGTAGCTGTAATCCTTTCTTCAGAGCTGCTGTCGATGTCCACAACAATCATGGTGGCTTCGTAAAGATACAAAGAGACGACATTAACTACACAGCATGGACATCAAGAAAGTTTCTGTCCTTGTTTAACCAACTCTGCTTGAATAGTAATGCTGGGGTTTCAGTCTAATGAGCTACTTAGATTCTACCATGTTTCTTGTTCCTTGACATAGTGAGGGATTTCCAGCGTCCATCGTTGTGGCGGTTATTAGATATGGCCGTGCCCACTCCTGACCCAAGGTCAAAATTCATTTTCACTTTTCCCTCAAACAGCTCCAGGGACATGAAGTCCTTCTGCAAAGAGCAACAGAGCGATATAAAGTGCTGTAAGGAGCTAACATTGGAAAACCAGAAACAGAATGCAAGGGGGTACACAGATGACTGCAAACCCCCACCGCCCCCAAAAAAAACCAAACCCAAAGAATATTCCCTGGCCACAATGTATATCATGCACATTTATTTATTTTATCACACGCATACCAGGTCTTCTGTGGCCAGGTACATGAGCAGAGACTCAGAGGAGAAAGTGCGGAACTTGAAGGTAATAGTGGAAACATTCGGGTTCCACCTGGTGGGCCTTCCCACTGCAGCGTAGCCTTCACCATCCAGCTGAACTGTTCCCTCACCAGCAGAACGTTGAGGACTACAAGAACACATAAAAAAAATACAGTTGATGCATTTCCATCAAACTTCCAACGATATTTGACAAATGGTCAAATGTAAAATAGAAAAAAAAAGAAGCTTAAATATAACTAGAGAAATTGCATTGCCTCCGAAAATGCAGTGTGAATGCTTATTTCAGAACTAGCTGAAAAACAGCTGAAATTAGCTACAAAAAAATGCTGAATTGTAGCTGAAATGAAAGAACAAGCTTAAATCAATTAGCAGAAGAAAGCAGAAAAACACATATTTGCTGAATTAGGTTTAAATAAGCAAAATTAGCACAAAGATTAGGAAATCAGCTAAAAAAGTTAAAATTAGCGCACAAACACACACAAAAAAAAACATCTAAAAAGTAGCCGAAAAGTCAGAGTTTAACCTATGAAAAGGAAGTGGAAAGAGCTGAAATGAGATAAAATTCCCATAAAACAGCTAAATAGTATCTGAAATAGCTGAAAAAAGCTGAAAGGAGCATAAGCTGAAATTAGAAAGAAGTTAGAAAAAGCACAGAAATGTTGTAGTTATCAGAATAAAACAGACAGGAGCAAGAAACAGCTGGAAAAACAGCCAAAATTAACTGAAAGTAGCTAAAAAAAAAAGGTTAAATTTGTACAAAAAAGCTGAAAGAAGCTGAACCAGAACAAAATGTGAAAGGAGCAATAAAAGGTTGTAAACAGATCTAAATATCTAAATATTTCAAAAAGCTAAAGTTGCACCATTTCATAGCAGGATTGTCCTGAAAGAGCTGAACGTTTTGATATTTAATTTGTTGAAATAGTTTGAAAACTGCAGGACGAGAAAGAAGCTGAAAAACATGCAGAAGAAAAATGGATCAAATGCTTCAAAACATTGACCCATGGGAGCTTATTTTTAATGGTTGCATACCTGACAACGCAACCCTTACAGTCTCCCCGTCTCTCTCTGTAGTTCCACAGACCAATGGGTTTACCATCCAGGAAGGTCTCACCCATGCAGCCAGAGAACGTTGATGTTCTTACTGCCTCTGCTTTCTAATATTCAACATAAAATGACAAATAAATGAATACAAATAAGATAAAAAAAGTCAAGTTAATAGCTTTTTTAACAAATACCTTGACAGTCCCAAATATTCCTCCTACAAACAGGTAGGCGTTTTGGTCAACGTCCAAGATGGTGTAAGCTGTGGGTGAGTTGGCACTTGCTGGGGTCGACATCATGCCGGCCTTGGAGCCTTCCAGAGGGTATACGGATATGGTGCCATTCAGACCATTACTGGAGTTGGAAAGAAAGAGAAAAGGAGTGCAACATTCTATGCATGTTCTTGTGTATTTCTAGCAGCAAAGTTAAGAAGACTAAAGAAAATGGATTTACTTGGAAGTAGTTTTTATCATCTTTTGGTACAAAGAATGTTTGATAGGACGGAGTGGAAAAAAGTATGTATCTGTAGAGCCTCCAAGCTGCGCAGTGAAATTAACTACCTGCTTTGAAGTTTGTTTTCAAGGCAGGAAAGGCATTTTCGCAATGTGTAGGGGAACATTTTTAGGACTGATAGGCTGTGTGATCTCATCAGTAAACACCTTTGGGAAGTGTCTCTGATGGAAAATGTAAGGAGCAGGTGAGACACCATCTTTATGTGAATGGGACTTGTGTTGGATTGTGTGTAAACAACAATATTTCAGCTTGCAGAAAGGAAGGGGAAAATGATTACAGTGGATCTAAGTAACAATGTGTCAAAGGCTGACAAGGCTGCAAACTCTAGATTTCCCTGATGGGAGTAAAAAAAAAGTGTTTTCTACTAGCATCAGCAGCATTACTACAAAAAGTAATGTGGTTTAGCCTTGCTGTCTTATTTGTGATTTGTTAATGTTAGAAACGGGGACAAGATAAGATACCAGTTACTTTATTAAATATCCAGTCTGAACTAAAAACATGGAAAAACATTTTGTGTTGGTGTATTATCTTAAATATCCAATGGTAAAGAAAAGGTGTAGAAAAAGGGGAGTTTTTGTTTGTGGTTACGGTTTCAAGAACATAGCTTCTCATGAATCCAATGCAAGATTTGACTATCCTTTGTAATTTAAGCCATGGTTCAGTGCTTGAGTGGGCATGCATGTGGTGGAGGAAGACCTCTTGTGTCTGTCTGTGTGTACGCTTCTTACCGAGACGCTTCTATTCGATGCCAGTTCCCATCATGGATCGTGAGATGGGGATACTCAACTCTACCCACACCTGATCCCACATCCCAAAGGAAATTCACTTTCCCCTTCCTCATCTCCAAGGCCAAGAAATCAACCTGAGGCACAGACGACACTTACTGTAGAAAGTGTATATGACTTGGTATAATATGCAGAAATTCCAGCACTCTGTTTCTAATAAAGACATTGAAATGTATTTAAAATTTTCTCTTTTTAATTTCAGACAATATAATAAACAATTTGATGTCATTTGTGTGAATTGTGCACAAGAAGTGGACCGTTTACATACATAAATTATCCAGCTGATGAAAAACTTGGAAGGACCTGACTGAAACGTGTTGGATTGTATACCTGGATTATTGAGCATGGACTTTGTTGTCTTGGAAGGTTAAGTTTATTTTACATTTATTTTACTCTCTGTATGAGTGAGTTCAGTAGTTCTGCATAGAATGGGTACTGTAAACTTTACTGCCAACCTGTGAAAGAGCAAATATCACTGGCCTTTAAATTTAGTAGAAATTTGAAGCAATAAGGGAAGCGATTTCTCAACTAATCCAGCACTTTGAGGGCTGTGACAGCAGCAGGAACCAGAACCTTCTCTCTGACATTATTGTACAAGGCTCTTGTCATGATCTCTGCGTTCTGCCACCCATCATGTCCACTTCTCCGCAGCGATCGCGCTCATGCTTATCACTTGTTGACCACTTTATATTAGAGTTCCAGGGTCCAAGATGGGGTAGAGGTATGGCAGCCGACCTGGGACCTGAAAGTCCCAGGTTCGATCCCCAGCCATTCCCATGTCGTGGTGTCTCTGAGCAGGCCACCTAATTCCTTATTGCTCCCCAGGCGCCTACATAGCTGCTCAATGCTCCATCTGCGTGTATCTCAGGTGTGATGGGTTGAATGCAGAGAACTAATTTCGCCATTGTACGGGAACATACAATTGTACGGGAACATATAATGATGACATTACATAGCACTTAATCCGTCCATGCCAAGTCTCTGCCAGATTATCTAACATTTTTGTCAGTAGATGTCCAGCGTTTCTTCCAAGTATGGTCCTGATTTTCTTGCTACGACCTCACACCTGTTTTCCTGGATTCTCTGACCTGCCTGCTCCCGGTCTGGTTTATTCTGCTCATCGGATTCTGGAACTACGACCTCCTTTCTGCCCATTGGTTTTCAGAATAAGGAACCCCCTCTGGATTAATTCTCTGACCTCAGCTTTATTGTGTATTACCCTTGCTCCACCACTTGGACCACAATTAAAGTTTGCCCCTCTCTCTCCAGCTGCTTGCCCGCCACTTACAGTGACGTCATTGCCACCACCGACACCACTCCTCCAAGTTCTGGCTCTACACTTGTCAAACTCTGCTCGCCTATTAGGTTAGTGGCTAATCTATTGCTATTCTGCACATTCTCAGAGACCTACAGCCAACTAATGGTGTTCTCTCTTTTAGACCAGTCCAGTGAGCGGATCCAGACTCCCAACAGCAGTGTTAACGTAATAAAAAAATTTAAATGTGTCTGGCTGAACTTGTGAATCCAAAACGTGGATCTTGTCTGATCTGTCATCTTATCACTCATTAAAGAGGTCAGATTTTGGTATTAACTCAGACAATCCATGCAAGCAGATCAAATCTCTTAATCTGAAGAGAGCATCTGATACAACTCCAGTGAACATTTGTACTTCAGCTGGTAAAGGGAAAGTTTGATACCGCATTTTTCAGCCTATAAGTCACGTTTTTTTTTGCAAAATTTACATACCCTGCAACTTATATGCCGAAGCGACTTATTTATGGATTTTTTCCCCCATATTTATAAACCTGAGATATGACTGTTTTCATTCATTCTGACTAAAAATATTGAACACTTAACGTTTTCAGCACTCTAGTAGTATGGCATTATATTACGTAAGAGACAAAAGTGGCTATTAATGACACAATCGGCTTGCCGTAGACTGCCACCTATGTCCAGCTCGCTTGGAGCAACCTTAAAATCAGCTTCATTTTGATGCGCTGCCCTGGCGAAATGCAGCTAATTTGACCATTGAAGTGCATTTATTAAGTGAAAGTTTGACAGAGACACACCTTTACTATAATGTCGAGCAAACAAATAATTGTTTCAGGTGCTTATTTTGTTACATTTCGAAGAAATGCGCAGCGTTCCTCCTTCCCGTTTTCCTCCCTCAGAGCACGCTCCCGGAGCGCCGAGGCAGCGAATACTTTTGAAATGCAGCTGATTTGACCGGCAAAGTGCATTTATCAAGGAAAAGTTAGACTGAGACGCACCTTTACTTTAATTTCGAGCAAACAATAATTGTTTGTAAGTGTTAATCTTGTGAAATTTCAAAGAAATGCACAGCAAGTCCACCTGTGCATGCACCTACTTACGCGTATTGGCTTTTGAAATGCAGACGATTTGACCGTCAAAGTGCATTTATTAAGGAAAAGTTAAGACAGAGACACACCTTTGCTATAATTTTGAGCAAATAAATATATTTTTTTAAAGTGTTAATCTTGTTAAAGTCTTTCCGTGCACGCTCCCATGGACACCATTTCGCAGCCAATCAATTTTTGGCACAACACCAGCCCATGTTTCTGGGTTCGACCCACATTTCAGGGTCGTCAGCGGTGACCCATAATAGATGTGACGTATACGGCGAAGCTACATATTTATGGATTTTTCCATTTTATTAGACATATCTGGACTGGTGCGACTTATCGGGCGGTGCAACATGTACGGCGGAAGATACGGTCATTTTGATAAAGTATGCCGTTATAAATCAAAATGTTTCTATAAAAAAACAGCAAAATAAAGCATTTTGTTTTAGTGTGAGTTAAATGTGTAACTGTTAACTTTGTGCAATATAAAAAAAAAATCCAAGTATAAAATTTCAACAACCAATAGGAACATTTATCTTGAAGGAAAACGTGACCGAAGGGATTTAACTCTCAGCTTCAGAGTATTTTTGGAGAGTACAAAGGCTGAAATTTGTTCATGTAAGTGGATTTTTACAGGAAGTTGCTGCTCTTTTTATTTAAATCTTTTTACGTATGTGTGAATCAAAAATAAGAATTCTGTACATGTGGCCCTGTCTGCTGTCTATGAACTACATATTATCCGTACGGAATTATGCACAATTAAAAAAATACTGGAGTCCCATTTGAACATAAAACTAATTAACGGCCACACAAGTGAACACTTTTCTGTCTATTCTCTCCAGGGGAAAGACGATTATTCATTAGCACAGACACAAGTTGTTAATATTCAACTGGCCTTTCACCATTAGTGAAATCTTAAAAGTCATGAGCACACACATCCACACACATATATTACTTGTACTGAAAAATAATATCAATGAGAGACACACACGTGCGATCCAGACAGATAAACAAAAACTTCTCAGGGGAAATCAGATTGATGCTAAGAGCAACACAAGCTTGTTGCTAATTTATGCACTTCTTTAACACACTTACTGTAAACACTGTGGGAATATCAGCTGTACCTTAAAACAGTGATGTGTTGTGAGAAGTGCTGGTGGGCATGTATCAAGATGTAATGATTACTATTAAATAAATCACTGGCAGTAGGTGTCGGCTGAGTGTGACCGCATTTTGCTTCCCAAGTTTAAGCCATGAAAACACATTTCTCCTTTGTGTATGCACAAAATGTTTGTGTCTGCTGAAATGTTTCAACTGTGAAAACAAATGCACGAACTACAGCTTGTCAACTCTCTTCAGGTGTCTGATATAAAATATATGCAATACAGTAGTCCCTCGTTTATCGCAGGGGTTTCCGTTCTCAACCCCTCCTGCGATGTGAAAAACTCTAATCTCTATTTCTAATTTCTATCGCTAATCTCTATCTCTGGGGGGTGGGGGGAGGGGGTGGCGCAGAGGTTAGAAGATGGGCCTGTGATCGGAAAGTCACAGGTTCAACTCCCAGTACAGTCAACATCAAAATGTGGGTGGAGAAGGTGAAACACCCACACCTGCCTCCACCCTCATTCGCCCCAACCTGGGCCCCTGAGCAAGGCCCTTAACCCCCACCATCTGCTCCTAAACAGGTCTCGCTTAAAAATGAGTTCTTGTGACTCAATGAGACTACCTGGATAAATAAAGGGAAGGGTAAATGAAAAATCTATCTTTAATCGCTAATATCCATCTCTAATATCTCTAATCTTTATCTCTACCTATCTTTATCTCTATCTTTATCTCTATCTTTATCTAGCTTTATCTCTATCTCTCCATCCATCCATCCATCCATCTCTAATATCTATCCATCTATCTATTTATCGGCATTTTAAACCCTTTCCACACTCTTGCAATATTCTACACAATGTTTCTAAATTCTAAACGTTCTAAAAGAGCACAGAATGTCATGATCTCTGCCACTTTCCAGCGCTCTCGGCCACGCCCACTTCTCCGTTGCAAGCCAGAGATCATGACATGCTGCAGAAGGAATCTTCTCCCTGCACCTGTGGGCTGCACACAGGTGCCAACTCATTTAAAAATAATATATTTTAAACTGGGCAGCACGGTGGCGCAACTGGTAGAGCTGTTGCCTCTCAGCGAGCAGGTCCCTGGTTCAAATCCTGGGCCGGGGGCCTTTCTGGGTGGAGTTTGCATGCTCTCTCTGTGCATGCGTGGGTTTTCTCCAGGTACTCCGGTTTCCTCCCACAGACCAAAAACATGCATGTTAGGCTGATTGGTAACTAAATTGTCCCTAGGTGTGAATGAGAGAGTGAATGGTTGTTTGTCTCATTTGTTTATGTGGCCCTGTGATGGACTTGCGACCCGTCCAAGGTGTACCCCGCCCCTCACACAGTGATTGCTGGACATGGGCACTGGCGACCCCCGTGACCCAAAATGGAAGAAGCGGGTAAAAGATAAAGGATAGATGGATGGATATTTTAAATTAAAAAATCCATGCCGATCGTGCAGCTCATTCATCAGTCAATTGTGTCATGTCCACTCTTACTTTGAAAAACTGCGAAAGAGCAGTTCCGTGAAAGTCCAACCGTGAAATAGCGAGGGACTACTGTACCACAAACTGTTTATGCATGGTTGAGTTTTGTGCCAATTTCTGCTGCCTGCTCAACAATTTAAAACAAATATATACTTACATATTTAACAGAGCCCAAGTAAAAGAGGAGGTTATCAGGCGTGGTGGTTTTAACATGGAGGACAATCGTGTTGTATCTGCCTTTTCTGATATCAGGGCGGTAACTACGAAGACATTCACCACCTGATGAAACAGACACTTTGATCTGAAAAAAAAAAAAAGAAATAAAAAAAGTCTGAACACATTTTTATTTAGGATATTTATGTTAAGTTGTTTGTCATATGCAGGTTAACAGAAGGTCAACAATGCAATGAAATGTTCAGGATGAGAAGAACCGATTTGACTCGATAAGAAAAAAAAACAGAAAGACTAAAGCATGCAATAAAAGTACAAAATAAAGTACCAAAAAGTGAAAAAGAAATAATATTTACAAGGTCCAAAAAAAATAGCAAATGACAACATGGTAGAATATAACGGAGCAAATAGGACGAATTAGTACAATGAGTATTTCACAGGTAGTAATATAAGCTTAAGTGCACATGATATATATTGCACATAAACTACACAGGTTGTGAGACAGGTTATTATTGCACAGGTAGTGAGTAACATTGAGATTGAATTATGACGGTAAGGTAGTGACATGCATGATGCAGCCACATAGTGCAGCAGCAATAAATATATTAGGTGTCACAGATATGGCTTAGTGCAAAGTTATTGTCAATAGTTCAGAATTATTGTCAAGAGTTCAGTAATCTGACAGCTTGTGGATAATAACTGTCTTTAAGTCTTTTTGTGCGCGATGGCAGACTCCTGTATAGTCTGCCTGAGGGTAATAGAAGGAAAAGTCCTTGTGCTGGGTGGGTGTGGTCCTTAATGATGCTGCGTGTTGCCAAAAACTGACTTTGCATGATGTGCTAGGGAAAAAAAGCTAATCAACTTGTTTACCATATGGCAAAAAATGTAATTTTACAGTATTACTAAAGTAAAGATGCACAAGAGTTTGTGTAAAAGTAAAACATAAAACACCTGAAATTACAAATTAGGTAAAAAAAAAAAAAAAACCATTTGTAAAAGTGATCAACTTTAAGCTTTAAAATGATAGACTGGATGTTTACATTTTGAAACCTAATGTTTTTACAGAACTGCAGATAAAACAAATGCAGTAAAGACCTTCGGTCAGTCTGTGTTTTTACATGCAAGTCTCCAGACAGCTTACTGAATTGGCTTGTTTCCTGGCCTGGTTGATCAGTTCCTTGATCTGGGAAATGTTGCGTCTCAAATTGTCCTGCAGCTTTTTGATTGGTTGCAGCTTCTCCAACAGTCTGTCAGCTTCATCCTCCAAATCCTTCACTTTAGCGCCTGCTGCATGAACTGGAGGGGGGCAGACAGAGACATCAGGTACAATTTAAAAAAAGAAAAAAGAAACTAGTAAATACTGTTTCAGTGATCTACTGCAGCTGAGAAAGTGGAAAGCTTGCAGAGAAGAAATACCTGAAGGAGTAGAAATGTGTCGTCAGCGCAAGAGACAAGGAAAAAGCCGGCGAGAATCAAACAAATTAGTGTAGCTGAGCATTCATAGAAAACTGCTTTAATTTCATGTAGCATATATTTGGATAAGACTGAGACTGAATTACAAAGACAGGAAAATAAAAAGAAATTTCAAAATCAGAAAGAAATTCTACGCTTTGCAACGAGCTGAGCTTTCATGCTCATTTTCAATAAAGTCATTAAAAGCAGCAATTGCTTATAGCTATTAGAGATAGCTTTAAATTAGTGTATGGTGCACCGATACCACTGCTGAGGTTCACATCGGCATCGTTTTAATTAAGCCATATTAACACAGGGATGTTAATATTACTGGGCTGAAGACAGGGTTTAAGATGTGCGCTCATAAGAGAAACAACAAATCTATAATGCCAATGACAAAATGTTGCAACAACAATATGGTACTGATGCACCACTTACAATAAATGTTTTATTAAAGTAAATAAAATATACATACTGATTGCTGTGGGGATTGAAAAAAAGAGAAAGAGAGAAATATATAAAATCAGTTGAGTTCACCCATTAATATTTGTGCTACTTTTTGTCTTTATAATTAGTAATCACAGAAAATATAAATCTCCTTCAAAACATCATATCTGCCAAATTTTTAAATGATTCATGAGTCAATGAAGCTTTGTAAAAATGAAGCATATTACTGTTTTTTTCTGGGTCCTGGATCATCTGATTGGCTGCATCGACTGTGTCCTCCAGCTTGCTGTAGTTCTGCTGCAGACCTCCGATCCGCAGGTTCAAGTCTCCAAGGCGCTCGAGGACATCTATGGCTGTAGCGTTGGCCTCTGCTGCTACGGCCTTTGTAGCTGCTAGCTTAGCAGCTGTATCTGTTAAACAACGTGACAAGAGTGACGTGCATTTACATACATGGATTTTTTTGTACTTTTTGTTTTTGTCACAGAGTTAAAATAGGAAGGATGATAAATTTCAAGTAAACATCTGAAGCCATACAGCAAAAGTGGCTCAAAAGTTTGATTTTAAACTAAAAATGCACAAGTTTTTGTGCATCAGACATAAAAATCAATCTGCCAACTTAACCTACACACCAATTCTATTTATATTTAATAGGTTAAACTACATATAATGTACCAAAAAAGTCCATGCTCAATAATCCAGGTATACAATCCAACAATTTTCAGTCAGGTCATCTACATATAATGTAGTTGTATGTATAAACAACCCTTAGGGACCAAAGAGCATTAAAATGATCAAGGATCACAAGGACAGAAGGTATTCTTTTGTTTTATACTGTGTTTATATATATATATATATATATATATATATATAAAGTTAACGAAAAAATACTTTGGACAGGCACCGCCATTTTGTAGTTTTCTTTCAATAAGTCTACACTGTAACGCCAGTCCAAAATAACTACATTACCCAGAAGCCAACAGTGCTTCCAGCCACTGCTTTCTGTTGAAATGGAGGGAAAGTTTTGATATTATTTGGACTCGATCGGGACCATTGTGTGGTTTTGTGCTGGCTGCCCGAAGGTCCGGCTCTCTCCAAAAGCATCTGGTGCTCAACGGCTGCAGAGAGCCGGTCAGAACTGGACCAGAACCGAACCAAGGCTGGTGAGTTCCTCATATAAAATTTTGCAGTATCTACTGTGCAGTGCATAAATTTATGTTGTTAAAATTGCATACGTTTAAGAGTTTAGAACATTGCAAGTGTAGGGTTTGTGGTTTGTTTTTCCTGGTGTCTGGCCCCATCTTGTGTTGTGTCTCTGTCCTGCTCCCTTGCATCTCATTACTTCTTTCCTCACACCTGTGAAGCTCACAGGTGTTGTGTGCTAGTCTTTGTTAGTGTCTGTATTTAAGCCTGTGTGTTTGTCTTCCTCCCTGTCCTGGCATTGTTATCTGTCTGCTGGTGATGTCCTGGTCTGCTCTATACTAAAATAAATATAGCGTTCCTACTTGGTGGTTTTTCACTTATTGCGGGAGTGTCCAGAACATAACCTCCATGATAATCGAGGGACTACTGTACCGGGTATTTAATATCACCATTTATTGCCATCCTAATATTTTATTCAATTTGTGAGCGCTATATGATTATCTCCAAGAAGTGTTTGGTAAGTTGTGGACCATTAATTAATCGTGTTAATTTATTTGGTCAATTCAACAGACTCACTGGCTTTGATGCCCACATCTGATTTAGATGATAGTGTAAGAAGTGCCAGTGAGGAAAGAGAGGGTTTATTGCAATTATACCTGCAATATTAAACGACAATTTCTCACATTGTAAGTTGTTTTATTTTAATAATGAACTTATGTAAAACTATTATGAAGTTGTAAAAATTGCTGCTTCAGACCAAAACAACTGAGGTGTCAGTTTGGGTTAAAATGTGTTTGAAAGCCATTTTGACAGCAAGTTTTAATTAAAATGTTAATCTTGATGATAGCTCTCAGTTAACAATAGTAGCGCACACACAGATTGAAATGTGATCAGGTGACAAGTTAAGTTGAAAGCTACACTAGTAAAAAAACTAAAATTGTCAAGCCTATAAATACAGCTTATTAGAATAATTGCACAGATTTTTGGATTTGCAAACAAAATTAAAAATAGTTTCAAGATGTAATGTGCTAAATGTTTAGGTGTTCTCTGAAGTTTTACCCAAATTTTAAAGTGTCAAAAATTATATATGGGTCTGAATCATCTTGGTCGAGCACTTTTGCCATCCCTGGAGAATGGCTGACATCCGTCTGCTCATTATCCGTTGTCGGGTCACTGAGGCAACAGATCGATGAGAGAAACACAGGCATCGCTCTCCCCAGTGACACTCCAGCTTCTCCTTGAGGAACCCAAGATGTTCTCAGACCAGAGAAAATACATAATCACTCCAGTGAGTTCTTGGTCTTCACTGGGCTCCCTACCAATGGGACATGCCCAGAAAACCTAATGGGAGGAGTCCAAAAGTCATCCTAATCAGATGTCTGAACTACCTCAACTGACTCATTTCGATGCAGACGAGCAGCGGCTCTACTCCGGGCTCCCCTCAGATGATGGAGCTCCTCATCCTCTCTCTAAGACTGAGTCCAGCCTCCTTATGAAGGAAGCTCATTTCATCCCCTTGTATCCAGGATCTTGCTCTTTTAGTCATGATTCAAATTCCATGACCATAGGTGAGGGCTGAAACGTAGACAGATCAGTAAATCGAGAGCTTTGCCTTTCTTCTCGGCTCTTCCTTCATCACGACTGACCGAAGCAACGCCCTCATTACTGAGGACAAGACGCCAATCCGTTGATTTATCTCTCACTCCATCCTATCACTCATGAACAAGATGCCCAGATACTTGAACCGCTCCAGCTGAGGAGTGCGTTTGTGTGTTTCAACCTACACACTGACATACAAGTACGCACGCATGCACACACACACAAAAGTGTTTGAGTAGTCCTACCGTTGGGAATGGTGTTGAGCGTTGCCATGGTTCCATTAACAGCTTTGAGAAGGTCTTTGGTTTTGTCTCTTGCCGCTTTAACTCTGCCCTTCAAGTCGGCCACACTGTCTGTATGTTCTAATGCGCACAAAGTTAAAAGATTATAATTGTTTAATGACAAGCATCAAATCAGTAAAATTACTTTCTTTACCTCCTGAAGAGTGAATGACAAGAGCACACGGATGCAAATTAAATACTTCTTTAAACAAAATAAAAAGGGTCTAACCACACAAACTTTCCCTTTGTCAGATTTTCAGTGAACGTTGATCAGAATAAACTCTATAATTGCTACTGGATCCTATAAAAGTTGAATTTCTTAACTTAAATACTTTTTGGTTTTGAAATTCTGACGAACACTGAACGTTAGCACAGCAGCTTTGAACCAGCCTGGCTACACTTCAGTGACACTTTACAATATTTTATTTTGAAGTTTCATCTTTAGGACTTTGAACTTTTTAAATAAACTTGTTTTTTGTGTAGTCTTGATTCAGATATTTACAAAAGTTATTTGGTCAAAGCTGAAACACTGCCTCACATTCTGCTTTATAAAAAAAACAAAAAAAAAAACAACCCCGACTGAAAAAACGTTTTAAGGTATTTTGATGGAATTTATATAAAAGGTGTTACCAGTTTTTGCAGCTTTATTGTCAGTAACATAGAATGAGTGCATGCACCCAAACTTTACTGGTACTGTGCACATTTTTCTTTAGTATTTAACTTTATAGGCAGTGTCACCATGGAAAGAGGTTGTGTGAGCTATAAACTTCTACAATAAATCAAACTGATGTATAGTGAAAGGGTTACCATAATTTACATAAAGTTAAACAATGATTAGCATCAAGTTGAACAAAAAATAAAAATAAAACAGGCGCACTAAAAGTGATCAGTGAATGCACCGTACAGAAAGCTGTAGTTCAAATATTATTACATTAGCTTAATCAGATTATTGTAAAACCAAACATCTGATTAACTTAGTGAACAACAATAATAAAATTCTAATTATTTTAGGGACAAATCAAAACCATGATAAAGTTTTATGTTATTTACACTCATTTTTATTAATGTGCAACCAAAATCTCCTAAAAAGTAGAATTTTGGGCCTTTAATCTACATCTAGCGAGGTCAGTGGCAGCAACGTTTTATAAAAGAACCAATTCGTTTTCATTTATATTAGAACTGCAGCTCCGCTGAGCTCCTGATCTGTATTTTACAGCTGCAAGAGTTGCTTTATGTTCTAGAAGCTGATCAAAAATATTAACTATCCCCAGTAAGAAATGATCAACACGAGGCCAAGATAAAAAAAGCAACCTCGAATAAGATCAAATTTAGTTCTGAAAGACGGAGTTAAATCATTTTTCATGAGGACAGTTTGAGAAGTGCTTTAAGATTTTGTAAACCTCAAAAGCCAGTTACGAAAAGATTCTTAACATGAAGAGTTTCATATGAATATTTGTGCAGCTCGTTGTCCACACACGCTCATCCTGACCGTACCTTTAACATCATTTTGAAGTTGTTTGGCCTTGTTCAGCAGTGTTTGACTCTTCTGAAGGGCACTCTGAGATGCTTCTTTTACTGGAACCTCTGGACCCGAAGCCTGAGAAAATGGCAAACAAAATTACATATTACCGTAATTTCCGGACTATAAGCAGCTACTTTTTTCACAGGCTTTGATTCCTGAGGCTTTTACAATGCTGCAGTTAATTCATGGAATTTTTTTGACGGGCTAACGAGCTTCATGCCAACAAAATATTAAGCCTCGTCACACCCGGGCACTCCCAGAGCTGCCCTAAACGCATCTCTCTTGGGGGGTGGGTACTTGTGACTCAATGAGACTACTTGTATAAATAAAAGGTTAAAAAAATCTGACCAATGAAATTACCCAACAGGTCACAGTGGACCAATGAAACTTGGGTTCAATTTAGTTTGCAGTAACTCGAAATAAGTGTGAATCATAAATCTAATCAGATCGTGAATTTACCTCGAGATGAAAGTGACGGTGAAAGCGACAAAAGACTGAGGATGAGTGTGATGACGTTTTTCTGAGGCTGTTAAATTCTGACACTGAAGAAGACGACTTTAGTGGTTTTAGTGCACAGGAAGAAGATGAACATAGCGATCACCGACTTTTTTTGGTAGGCTACTGTATTTTATTTAAAAAAATTTTACCAGGCACTGTTCAGGAAAAAAAATACAAATTACTGTACTTATTTGTGTATGCTACCAATACGCATTTCATTAAAAGTAAAAAAAAAAAAAAAAAAAAAAAAAACCTTACTGTGAAAATATTTCATGTTACAACGTGGACACCTGTGGCTTATACACTAGTGCGACCTATATATGCACAATCTTTTTCTTTTCAAATTTAGTGGGTGCGGCTTATACACAGGTGTGTTCAATAGACGGGAAACTACAGTACAATAGATTCAGGGAAAATGCTTAGATTAAAAGTTTAAAGAAGTTTCTTGGTCATACAAATTGCCAACTTTCTGTAAGTTTGCGCTGTCAAGTCATTCTCCATCGACAGAAAAAAGCAAGTCCTATCTTCCATATTCACTTCTTTCTTTTGTAGCACCACCTTGTTTGTGCTTTACTTTGAAGAGAAAATCAGTAGATGTATCAACAAGAAAACTGCATTACTGTTAACTGAACAGTCACAACAGGGGAAAAACTGAAAATAAGAACAAAAACAGAATAAATGGCAAACACGAATAAATGTAAGATGGAACAAAAAGTGGAAAAATAAAAGGAGAGGAAAACAAAGGAGATTTCAGGTGTCTGTAGTTATGATAGAGTAGTAAAAGAGGAAGATGAGGGATGAAGTGCTTTGATCTCTCATCATGACTAAAGGAGCATACGTTGTTACTCCATACGAGCGCACTATCTTTTGTGCTGAGTACACTCTCAGGGTCTGGATTGCTGAAGTGTTTGTGCTCTCCATCTACAGTCCGTTTGCATTTTAAGTGCATTACATGAATGTGTACATGACAGCTTTTGGTTGTGTTATTACGTCTATAGCATCAAACAGAAATACAGTGAAATATGGAAAATGAGTCATTTTTTTAAAAATCCATTCAAGGGGTGTGAATGTGTTCTCTTACCAGTGCCAGCGCCTCACTTGCCCTCTGTTTGGCTGCCTTCGCCTCTTTCTCTGCTGCATCAACGTTGGCTTTAATGTTGCTATAAGCATGGAAAGCAGCTGTTGCGTTGAACGAGAGGTTTTTAGCTTCAGCCAAAATACTATAGGAGTGACGAGAGGAGAAAAAAAAACATTTAGGATATTGATAATACTGAAACTCGTGGGAGTTTGCCCATCCAGTCTACATGCATTTTGTGGACTTGGAGAAGGCTTTCGATCGTGTTCCTCGAGGTACACTGTGGGGGGGGGTGCTCTGTGAGTATGGGATTGGGGGCCCATTGCTACAGGCTGTTCAGTCCCTAAACGAGAAGTGCAAGAGTTTGGTTCGCATTGCTGGTAGTAAGTCGGACCCCTTCAGGGTGGGAGTTGGACTCTGCCAGGGCTGCCAGTTGTCACAGATTCTGTTCATATCTTTCATGGACAGAATTTCTCCGTGCAGCCAGGGGGCGGAGGGATTCCGGCTCTGTGGCCTCAGGATTCTATCTCTGCTCTTTGCAGATGATGTGGTCCTGGTCCTGTTGGCATCATCATGCCATGAGCTTCAGCTCGCACTGGAGCAATTTGCAGAAGAGTGTGAAGCAGCTGGAACGAGAATCAACACCTCCAAATCTGAGGCCATGGTCCTCAGTAGGAAAAGGGTGGATTGCTTTCTTTAGGTCATGGGTGAGGTTCTGCCTCCAGTGCAGGAGTTCAAGTATCTTGGGGTTTTGTTAACGAGTGAGGGAAAAATGGACTGTGAGATTGACAGACGCATTGGTGCAGCATCTGCAGTAATGCAGACTCTGTACCGATCCATTGTGATGAAGAACTGAGCTGTCAGATAAAGCTCTCTGTTTACCGGTCAGTCTACGTTCCTACCCTCACCTATGGCCACGAACTCTGGGTAGTGACCAAAAGAACAAGATCGTGGATACAGGCAGTTGAAATGAGTTTCCTCTGCAGGGTAGCTGGACTCTCCCTTAGAGACAGGCTGAGAAGTTCAGTCATTGGGAGAGACTGAGTAGAACCACTGCTCCTCCACATCAAAAGGAGTCAGTTGAGGTGGTTTGGACATTTGGTAAGGATGTTTCCTAGGCATCTCCCTAGGGAGTTGCTTCGGGCATGTCCAACTGGGTGGAGACCCCCAGGGCAGACCCAGGACACGCTGGAGAGACTGTCTCTCAGTTGTCCTGGGAACACCTTGGAGTCCTCCCAGAAGAGCTGAAAGAGGTGGCTGTGGAAAGAGATGTCTGGGCCTCCCTGCTCAAGTTGCTGGCCCCATGACCCGACTTCAGAAGCAGTGGAAGATGATGATGGACGGATGGATAATGGACAGACTCATATTCGTGCTGCTGTTCGGCATATTGTTTCTATGCTACTAGTGCTTGGTGTATTTTTATTAACGTTTTTCTTAGTTCATATCTTAGATCTTTTTACTGCATTAAAAAAAATGTTTACATTTTAATACTTTGTTGGATGTAATTGGGACCCCGTGTACACAATTACATTCATTCAACCTTTATTTAGACAGGTAAATCCCAGTGAGCCTCGAGGACTCATTTACAAGAGAGACCTGACTTTAACAAAGAATGATGACAACAATGGACAACAGCGACAACAATAGACAATTATAAAAAGGCATAGTTTTTTTTTTTTTTTTTTTTTACGAATAGCATGGCTAAAAGAAAAGTAACAAAAAACAGCTAGATTCTAAGGCGAATGTAGAAAACTAAAAACAGGAACATGTCTGCATTGGTCCCTGCCAGGAGTCCAACAGATTATTTAAGCCACTTAGAGAGGTCAAGGTCGAGAGCTTCAAATCTTTTTGTAAGATATTCCAGGAAACGGGAGCGGAAACATTCCACCACATGTACCACAAGTGGCGCGAATGACAAAGAAACTTGAATAATAGTTTCCAGAAAGATCAGTTATTCTCAATTAATTCGGCAGTCCAATTTCAAACTGCTGAAGATGGTAAAGATGTCAAATCACAGTGGAACAATGCCATTATTCATTGCACAAATCACATATTTTAACAAGACGGTTTTTAAATTAGATAACAGCCAATAATAGATGCAATAAACTTGTTGCAAAGGCAATACAATTTCCTAAAAACATTTTATCCCTTCAAAAATAGCTTGGTCAAAAACAAAGCTACTGACATCCATGTGAACTAAATATGCCACTGAAATGATTATAAGCTGAATCATCATGTCTATGTTATGTCTACTGTTGCATTGTGGGTGTAAACATATTAGAGTGGTGATATGCTTTTGATGCATTTACCCATCTAAAATGGATGCAGATCCGTTCAGCTGCTTGGCGTGTTCCTCTGCCTCCTGCACATGCTTAGCCAGGCTACCATCGCTCAAGCCATCAGTAAGGTGCCGGACTCTGTCATCCAGCTGATGATGAAGAGGAACGAGCTCTTCCTCCATCTTCTCCAGGTCCTGCGAACACAAATCAAAAGATCTAAACTGCTGAATTTTCTGCAGATTAGAGCAGCTTTTTACTTCTACTCCATGGCAACATGTTTACGGTTGAAAATAAATACTGCTACTAAATATTTTATGCCATTAAAACAACAAAAAAGTAATAAAAGTAAAATATGTATTTTTCAAATGATTGCTCTTTTTTTAAATGAGAGACAAACTGACCTCAAGCAGAAGGTGCCACTGTAAATTTTTATTTTTTAAGTTCCAGGGGTTCTGCTGATTACTTCAGTACCTCTAGCTCCTTGTTGACGTTGTCAGAAAGTTGGTTTGCCTCCTCCAGAAGGTTTTCTCCTTCTCCGAGGACCTTCTGTACTTCCTGTTTCACCGCACCGACTGTAGACCGCTTCCTCTGCAAGTAAACAAACCTGGATGTGTAACAGCAACGTGCACTATTGTAACATTTATATGTCAGACAGAACTGCCAAAGTTCTGGTTGTGAAACTTCTCTGTATTCAAATATTCTTCACTTGCTTTATAGAAGCAGTTTTTCTAATTCTTAGACGTGGTCTTGAGCTACATTTTCCAGGCTTTGCGAGTCCTTTTTGACATATTAAATTACATATAGGGTACTTTTAAACCCATTTATTAGTGAACTCATTTAATTGATCATCTTCAGACGAATTTCCTCTTTAGGAAAAAGATAGTTGCATCTCCTCAGAATTAGCAAATAACCTACTTAAAATAATATATTTAGATATTTTGTCACGAATAGATTGGTGCAGTGAAAGATAACTTGTTTCAATTTTTTAGAGTTGCATTTGTGAATAAAGCCAATAGTTTTAAAAGCATGGCTTTTTATTTTCTTTCCACACAACTAGATACATTTCCAGAGTTGTTTGTGGAAAGCTTGGCATATTTGTAAATGGAATGTTGTCCTGAAAATTAAATCAAAAAATTGAAAAAGATTAAGGTCTAAAGCACAGCAGATGAACATAACCTAAAAGTTACGGGGGAGAAGAAGTCCCGCGACAGATGAAAGATAAATTGTTCAGCTGATCCATCTTTTGCCAGCAAAGTTAAAAAAAGAAAATATTCTGCTTTTGAACTTCCTTCAAGTCATTTAAAGGCTTAAAATAAAAATCTGCAGTTTAAGATTTATACATTTGTCAAGTAATGAGACCATGGTGTCACTTTAATGTGGCTGCAGCTTAGCACACAGTTTTTTTTAATGTAATGTGATGGTTTATGTTGTTTCATAAAATAATTAAAATGCGCTTCACAATCCGACACGTTGCTTTGCACACATCTGGGAGACACCTGCTACAGTAGATTCTCTCTGAAGCATGAATTTTGTTTTATTAACTAACAAGCTATGCTTCCTAACTTTAATTTTATTCTATTTTTTTAATGAGCAACTTTTTAGTTTAATCCCACTTTCTACAAAAACAAAACTCCACCGTGCCAATAATCCTGAAGATCAGTGTTGAGAAGGCCACAACTATTTGTATTAAAATAGTGAACATTTATATTTAACAGCATGCTACGGCACTGATTTTCCTTTTTATGTCAACAAACGATCATATAATGAAGCTTAATAACAGTGATCCTAAATGTTTGAGTGTCTGCACCTCCAGAAGGGTGAGGTTGGCTCGGTTCTGTTCAGCCAGTGAACCAGCCTGCTTCGTTTGTCCCTGAGCGGAGCGAAGTAACTCCTGAGCCTCCTGGAGCTTCCCCTCATGATCAGACAGCTTCTCGTTAATCTTGGAAAGCAGGCGGGGAGACGGTGTTAATCCCAGTCATTTAGTGAATCTGAAGAAAAAACAGTCTGAACACGAGGAGTTCAGTACCTCTGCTTTCAAATCTTCTGTGGTCTGATGCGGGTTCCCAAACAGTCTTTTGACTTTCTGATACAACTCCTCTGCTAGACTGGAAAGACAACAAGGGGTTAATTACTCACAGAACTACATAGCCTAGCTGTACTACTACTGTATTTATATATGTCAGTAACACGATTCAGAGTGTAGCGGGAAGAGGTATTTATGATGTGATTGACTTGCTGCAGAACTCAAAACTGAAAAGTTCTTGTGCATTTACCAACTTTTTGCGAAAACACTGATTGCCGGACGACTGCTGAATTTTGCTAAAGAAGCTGTAACTAAGTGGTAAAGCCAAATGCTAGCTAAAAATATCAAAAGAACTGAGCTTAATGTAGCAGAACTCTAACGAAAAGCTCAAAGCAGCAGAACGCTAGCTAAAAATGGCAAAATAAAACCAGGGGACATATATTCTATAGATCAGGGCTACTCAACTTTGCTCAGGGGGTCACGGTTACTGAAAACCAAGAGCTCGAGGCTGGGCATCCAGCAGTTATTGTCATCAAGTTAGTTTGTTTTATGGTTTAAAATCTAGTTTTATTTTAAAATGAACCCACTGGAGGGCCAAACTGAGCTCACCCGTGGGCCTGATTTGGCCCCCGGGCCACCAGTTGAATAGCCCTGCTGTTTGGTATATATTCCAGTTTTTTGAAGAAACAAGAGATCTCAATCTTTTTTTTTATGTGGTAAACATAACAAAAATTGTTATTCTAAAAAGTATAAAAGTTACAAAATAAAGTTATAGAGCCCACTTCCTGAGTGATCTGAAGGTTTCGATGTATGGATTTCTAACATAGAACGAAGTATCCAAAGATATTTTATTGTAAACAATAAAAAAAAAAAAATCTAAAATATATAAACTGAAAAAGCATCATATGAATGCTAAATCAGCATCCACACAAGAGAAAGTGTTCAGTTATTGTACCGTATTACAAAATTATACAAACCGTTGCTAGCATCCTTTATTTTATAGACTTATTTCAACTCTAATTTAAGATTTACACCGAAACCATTAATGTTGCTGTGATGCAGACTTTTCGTGAGCTCCCTCCCATCGAAGGTATTTAGAAACCGTTTAAAAACCACAAGTTTACGATTACACTCCTTAACGAGGGTTATTTTTATACTTGATATCATTAATTAGGGCACACAGATCTTGTGTCCTCCAGTTAGCATCACTCAGAGGAACAATTCAGATTTTCAGGACATGTGGGATATTATGATTAGATATAAAACTTTAATGAAGCCTGTGGGGAGTAATAAGAAAAAATAAATTAAAGATAAGGATAGAGTTGTTTATCATTTGTTTGACTTTTCCCACATTGGACTGAAAAGAAAACAAGATTGCAGCATTTTAATATCATGTATATCTATACATGCAATTACAAAACTAATTACAGAAATTGCATTTCCAGGAAAAATGCAATGTGAATGCTTATTGCAGAAGAACTTTCTTAAAAAAAACTGCTGAAATTAGCTAAAAACATGCTGAATTGTAGCTGAAATGGAAGAACAAGCTGAAGTTAGCAGAAGCAGAAAGAACACAGATTTGCTGAATTAGGTTTAAAAAAGCAGAAATGAGCCAAAAATTAATAAATTAACTAAAAAAGCTGAAATTAGCAACAACAAAAAAAGCTGAATAGTCGCTGAAAAGGCAGAAAGATGCTGAAACTACCAGAAGGAAGTGAAAGGAGTTGAAATGAGCTAAAAAAAAAAAAGAGCTAAATTTAGCACAAAACGGCTAAATAGTAGTTGAAATAGTAGAAAAAGCTGAAACTAGCAGAAATAAGTTGAAAGGAGCATAACAAGCTGAAATTAGCAGAAATAAGTAATTTAGGCTGAAAGTAGCCAAAATTACCATGATAAACTTGAATTTAGCTGAAAACAGATGAAATTATCTAAAAAAATGCTAAAACAAAAAAAAATAGCTGAACTGTAGAACAACCTTAAATTAGCAGAAGTACAGAGAGCATAATTTTGCCCAATTAGGCTGAAAGGAGCAGAAGTGGGCACAAAAAGTGGAAAGTATCTAAAAAGCTGAAATTAGAAAAAAAATAAATAAATAAACAGCTGAAAAGTAGCTAAAAAGGCAGAAAGAAGTTTAAATTACCAGAAGGAAGTGGAGAGAGCACCTTTTTGCTAAACTATGCTGAAAAAAGTTGCATATGGAATAGCTGAAAAAAACTAAAATTAGTATAAAAACAGCTAAATAGTAGCTGAAACAGCAAAAAATGCTGAATCTTGCAGAAATAAGCTGAATGGAGCATAACAAGCTGAAATTAGCAGAAAGAAGTTAGAAGAAGCACAAAAATGTTGTAGTTAGCAGAAAGAATCTGAAAGAAGTACAAAACAGCTGAAAAACATCTGAGATTAGCTGAAAGTAGCTGAAAAATGTTTAAATTTGCACAAAGGAAGCTGAAAGAAGCTGAACCATAAAATGTGAAAAGAGCAGTAAAAGTTGTAAACAGATCTAAAAATTTGAAGGACATAAAATGAGCTCAATTCATTTTCTGAGGAAAAAAAAATTACAGAAAAGGCCAAATATTTCAAAAAGCTAAAGTTGCATCAATACCAAAAGTCATAGCAGGATTGTCCTGAAAGAGCTGAACGTTTTGATGATTTGTTGAAATAGCAAAAAAAGTTGTGGAATGAGAAAAATGCCAAAAAACGTTTGGAAGAAAAATGGATCTCAATAGTGTGAATGCTTCATAAACATTCACACTGTTATACAACTCTGCCAGATTTACTAATTTCACCAAGTCTCTTTCTCTCATTGTTTTTTCTGCTGCACTGGTTGAAATCTTCCTCGGGCTTCAAATAAACAACTATAGGCCGACTGTCAAGTCATTCAGTGGTTGAGGCCGTTTTTCTTAGTCTCAGTTTCTTGTATTCTCTCCCTCTCTCCTCCATCTGTCAGCTGATCATCTCTCCTTCTGTGGCTTTCCAGCTCACTGCTTGTTCCTTGAATCTTTATGTATCTCTCATGTTTCTTTGCCTGCGGTGAGATTTTTAATTAACTCACAGATCTTGTTAACATTTACTGCTGAAAGAGGGAATAAAAGAGCAATGAGGTCTGAATACATCACTGACTCCACTTGTCTTAAGAAAGGAAAGATGAGCGACATTCATTGTTAAAACAATTTCCACATAGCAAGGATTTTCTAAAGGAAACGTTCTTATGCCTAGATGCAGCAACACGCCAAATAAAAGTTCATACTTTACTTATTTTTCAAGGTATTGTGCTCACAGCATGCATGGATGGAGGGTACTTCCAATTCCCCTTTGTACTCCACGACAGGGGACAAAAAATTCCCTTCTAAGGCTAATGTACACTTAATTGCATAAATTTACAAACTAAAACTAGTCTGCTTACCAAGTATTCCTAAACTGTGTAGGAGAGAGATAAATAACCTCTGCTTAGCTCTGTAGGTGTGTGAGTGTGCGTGTTTTCATACTCCTCCTCCTCTTCGGCAATGCTTTTCTTCCCTCCCAGCTGTCGTTTCCTCATCTCGGCTAGCATGGCCTGGATCTCCTCCTTCATCTCGCTCAGGCTCTTGTCTGGAGTTCCATCTTTCCGAGAGAGGGTCCGGTTCAACTCAGCAGCCTTGGATTGAAGGTCTTGACACACACACACACACAAACAGCTGTGAGATGCTGTCGATGGGCAAATTGAGTTTTTGTGGTACGAACAACAATTTCTCTGAAATACAGAAACACTGCATTCATGAACATGAATCTTCCGTTTACTTTTTTTTTTTACTTGAATAACTTAACTTGAACTAGAAACATTGCATTTCCTGCAAAAATGCAGTGTGAATGTTTATTGCTTAAAAACATGCTAAAAAACAGCTGAAATTAGCTTAAAATATGCTGAAATATAGATGAAATGGAAGAACAAGGCCAAGGTAGCAAAAGAAAGCAGAAAGAAGACACATTTGCTGAATTATGTTTAAATAAGCAGAAATTAGCAGAAAAAAGCTGAATTTAAAAAGAAATGGCTGAGAAGTAGCTGAAAAGGCAGAAAGAATCTTAAAACTACCAGAAGGAAGTGGAAGGAACTGAAATGAGCTAAAAATAAATAAGTGGAATTAGCTGAAAATGCTCAATTTAGCACAAAACAGCTAAATAGCTGCAGAAATAGCAGAAAAAGCTTAAACTAGCATAAAACACTGAAAGGAGCATAAGCTGAAATGAGCAAAAAGAGTAGGCTGAAAGTAGCCAAATTTACCACGAAAAACTTAAATTTATCTGAAAACAGATGAAATTAGCTGAAAAATGCACAAAAAAGTAGCTGAAAATGTAGCACTAGCTAAAATTTGCAGAAGGAAGCAGAACGAGCATGTTTGCTGAAAGAAGCAGACATGAGCACAAAAAAGTAGAAATTATCTGAAAAATGCTAAAATTTGCACACACAAAAAATCAGCTGAAAAGTAGCTAAAAAAGAAGAAAGAAACTTAAATTACCAGAAGAAAGTGGAGAGAGCAAATTTTTGCTGAATTAAGTTGAAAAAGTTTAAGTGAGTGCAAAAAATGTGGAATTAGCTGAAAAAGCTTAAATTAGCATAAACCGCTAAAAACAGAAAATATAAACAGTAGCTGAAAAACTGAAACTAACAGAAATAAACTGAAAGGAGCATAACAAGCTGAAATTAGCAGAAATACGTTGAAGGGAGCTCAAAACAGCTAAAAAACCAAACAAACAAAAAACAAAAACAGCTGAAATTAGCTGAAAATAGCAGTTTTTTTTAAATTTGCACAAAGAAGCTGAAAGAAGCTAAAGCAGAACAAAATGTGAAAGGAGCAGTAACATGATGTAAACAGATCTAAAGATTTGAAGGATGTAAAATGAGCTAAATTAATTTTCTATGAGAAAAAAAAAGGCAGAAAAGGCTAAACATTTCAAAAAGCTAAAGTTGCACCAATACCAAAAGTCATAGCAGGACTGTCCTGAAAAAGCTGAACGTTTTATATGATTTGTTGAAATAGCTTGAAAACTAGGGACCGAGAATTGTGTTGACAAACATACGGAAGAAAAATGTATCACATAGTGTGAATGCTTCATTTACACAATAACTATCTTAGGCCATTTAGGCTATGTTCACACTGCCTGCAGAAAATATGTTAAAACACTTCTAAAAGTAAAATAAAAGCTTCTATAAAGTTTAAAACATTAGGACAGAGGAAATAAACACACTGATGTTGAGCAGAAAGCAATAAAACACAAACAGAGTGCCATATTTTAACTTGTTACTAAAATGCATTTAAACTATCCCATTGATGCACTGATTTTAAAACATACAATAAAATAAAATAAATTAAAACCAGTTGAAATATTTCAGTTTGTTTTTGTTTACGTCGGCGTGATGCTGGATTCCTCTCATCTGAAGTGTAAACACGAAGTGATTAAAGCCAAGACAGAGGTAAAACCATCACACTAATGAACAGCTGTAATGCATGTGCGTATGTGTGCGTGCACGTTTATTTGTATGAGCATGCGTGAGTGCATTAGTCAGTGTGTGTCGCAGTCATATAATTACATAGTAAGATTAAAAAACCAATTAACCACTTAAAATGTGGATGAAATCATATTCCCATATCCTGCCATCGTGAGCGCGCACGGTGAGGAAAAGGTGTATTTTGTCATCTTGTTTTGTGTCTGTGTGTACACTCGATTCAGTGTGTGCACACTGGCAGCAGTGTTTGCATATTCAGTGTTTGTTAGTGTGTGTTTCTGATAGGCACTAATTAACTCTAATTGTTACTCTCAATCAACCAGTGAGCATCGGCACAGTCGCCTAAACACACACACACACACACACACACACACACACACACACACACACACACACACACACGTGCACACACACACACGCTATAATCACACTGTGATTAGGCAGAGGGCCAAAGAGCTGCGAGCAACAGCAAGGAGAGGACAGTTGCATCACAGCAAGCCAGAACATGGTGGTTTAGGAACTTTTTTCCCCCCCCACAAGCTATATCCAAAATTTATAAAGGTAATAAAAATAACTTCTTTGATTTACAGTTTTACATGGAGTTTTTTTTAATCACTAAAAAATTACAAAAGGGAAAAAAATGTTAGTTGTCCAGGGTAACGTGATTTCAAACAAAGAAACTTGCAAGATCACTGGAATTTCAAGAGACCAGTTCATGTAATGCTAGAAATGAACAATGTTTTGGCAGTTTCTACAATTTTCAGAGCACATTTACAAAATGCCACAATTGACGATCTATAGAGCGCACCCGAATACAAGCTGCACACACTAAATAAAAAAAACAACTCGATTTTGTACATAAAAAGCCGCGCTTGTGTTCACATTATAACGAGAGGCAGCACAGCTACTGACAAGTATGTGCAGCTCTAGTTGTAGTTAAAGAATCGACCACGTTCCAAAAATGTTCCAAAGACTTTAGTTTGCTTTTCAGCGCACACAGACAAAAACGAATCACACACCTCTTCATGACAACTACCTCCCTCACTCATGGTTACTCAACTGAATGACCGAACACAAACTAACACATAATGAACACATTAACTAAGAACACACTAGTAGTACAGATAATCACTAAAAGAACAATGCTAAATAACGAAATTATTAAAAATGAACATACATTTTACCCATAATTCCTCCCTGAGGCCATGTAATCAACAGTCAACCACAATGGACCACAGAATGCTACAATATGTACTGGTAACATACACAAATACGTACAGTAAATGCTTTTGTTTTGTTTTTTTAACAGTGCCAGTAAGGCTGGTAAAAAAAAAAAAATAAGTACTGTATTTTTCGTACTATAAGGCGCACTTACAATCCTTAAATGTTCTCAAAAATCGACAATGAGCCTTACAATCCGGTGCACCTTATGTATTAATTCTGGTTGTGCTTACTAACCTCGAACCGATTTTATGTGTTACACGGCGCTCAAAAATATGTCAAAATGAACTTGTTTCACTTAATGTGCCTTATAATCCAGTGCGCCTTATGTATGAAAACAGACCCGTTCATTGATAATGCTTCTTATAATCCGGTGAACCTTATAGTCTGAAAAATACGATATATAGCCTACCAAGAAGTCACTGATCGCTAACTTCATCTTTCTTCCTGCAAGCTGCTGTGGAGCCTCTTCCTCCTCCCCTCACAGTCGAACCAATGAAACAGTCCTCTCCCTGTTTCATTGGTTCGACTGTGAGGGGAGGAGAGAAAGGGAATGGGGTCTCACCTGCATGTGAAGAGCATGCGAGTGTCACATGCTCACAGAGCAACTCTGAAGGAGGACAGCTTCCTGGAGAGACGAGTATTGAACAGCTATGAGAGCATCCGGGACGAAGCTAAATGATTTTGGTGGCAGGAAGCTGTTAGCCCGTCAAAAAATTAAAACAAAGTAAAAATCATAAATTAGCCGTAGCCTGCGGGGTTTAAAGTCGGATAAAAAAGTAGCGGCTTATAGACCGGAAAGTATGGTACTGTATATTTAGACAACTTTGGAAATAACTTTAGGGTCAACTTACTGTATCTTCACAAGAATTATAAAGTTTTCATACAATTGTTTTTTTTTTTTTTTTTACAGATTTCCATTAGTGCACAATAAGTTATTTTTTATGTCTTTTTTTTATTTTTTAAATGTCAAAAGTTAACGTGTTTAAACACTAGCTAGAATACCAAAAAGCCTGAAAATTTTAGGTATTAATGAAGGTAATGACAGCTTTTATCACAACGATTATTATATATCCAGCTTCATAAAAATGCTTCATTTAGTTAGCTTATTTTATGTACAGTTTCTCATGTCGATTTAATCCAGCATTGTGAAATGTGCTCCAGTGGCAAACTAAACAATAGATGGATACAGAAAAAGAAGAAATATGTTGGCAGAATTTGGAAGTGGCTACTGGTGGAGGGTTGATCCTTTCTGCTACCTTTGGCTCCCAGCAGGATGTCCTTGATAAACTGCTCCAGGTCTTCAGCTCCATTATGGATCCTGTCAGCATCATCCTCCACCTGCTCTCCATCAGCAGACACCTTAGTGGCCTACAAACACACACACAGACAGCTGCATCATAAAATAATAAATAGTTGATTAAATAAATGTGTTGGCTTTTGTCTAAATAACATGTCCAATCAAAAAAGAAGAAATCTTAGAAGTAAAAATTTTATAGATTAGATCAGTACATGCAGAATGAATTTAATCCACTGATATTACCGTGGACAGACAAACACAAAGATGGATGATTTGCTGACACAAAAAGAAAATAACTTCACGCATTAATGCTCAAAGGACCTGCACACAAGAGATGGATGAGTTCTTGACAGGCATGAAAAACATGCCAATACACTCAATTTAACTCACACTCGCACACACCGAGTGAGAGTGGAGGTAATTACATGTGGTCGAGATTTGACAAGACCCTGCTATATCATTTTAGCTATGTGTGTGTGTGTTTGTGAGCCAGAATGTATGATAGGGTGTGGGGGATAGAACTGTTGTCAACAAATGTCAAGGTCTGAGTCCCTAAAAGGGTTCGGCCTGACAGCCTGAATGTGAGTGTTATTTCTTGCTTTGTGTAGACTCCTCCAGATGTTTGTCTATTTTGGTTAACTCCCCTCACAGACAAACATGACACTCCACACTTTTTGTAAAGACTTAGAATACCTTAAACAAACATATTGCCAGTCACCTTTTATGCCAGAGTTTTAAGCTAAGATAGTTTATGTTGTGGAATGACAATGTGCTACAGTTATTCTGGTCAAACCTTAAAAACATACCGTATTTTTCGTCATATAAGTCACAGTTTGTTGCATAATTTGCATCCCCTGCGACTTATTTATGGAGTTTGTCCCATATTTATAAACCAATTTTTGGCTGAGATATGACCGTTTTCATTCATTCTGACTGAAAATATTGAACACTACCATTTTCAGTTGCTAGATGGCGTTCTAGTATGGCATGCACTTGTGTCATGTAATAGGTAAAAGTGCCTATTAATGACGCAATCGGCTTGCCACAGCCTGCCACCGTCATCCAGCTCGCCTGGAGCAACTGTCAAATCAGCTTCATTTCGTGGTGCCGTCCCGGCGAAATGCAGCTAATTTGACCATTGAAGTGCATTTACTAAGTAAAAGTTCAACTGAGACACACCTTTGCTATAATGTTGAGCAAACAAATAATTGTTTTAGGCGCTTATCTTGATCAATTTTGAAGAAATGCACAGCGTTCGTCCTTCCTGATTTCTTCCCTCTGTGCACTCCAGGAGCACCGAGGCAGCAATTACCAGTACTTTGGAAATGTAGCTGATTTTACCATTACAGTGCATTTATTAAGTAAAAGTTCAACTGAAAAACACCTTCACTATAAAATCAAGCAAACAATTGTTTTTCACTGGTTATCTTGTTAAATTTTGAAGAAATGCACAGCGAGTCCTCCCGTGCACGCTCCCACGGCCGCCATATCGATTTTTGGCACAACACCGGCCCACATGTCCATGTAGTCAGTGGTAACATAATAGATGCGACTTATAAGGTGAAGTGACATATTTAGGTTTTCTTCCACTTTATTAGACAAATTTGGACTGATGCGACTTACATGGCTGTGCGACGTGTACGGTGGAAAATATGGTAATGTGAGGTATGAAGGTCATGAATGCTACTTTGTGGCAAGTAATTCTCTCCAAAAGTCGGCCTTTTGTATTATACACCATTTGGGCCTCTGGAATGGAATCATCGTTGGTCAGTGCTGCCGTCTCGTAATACTAAAACTGCAGATTCAAGGCCAGGTTGTGATGGGAAGGGCACCAGGCCCAAATCAATTGCTTTAGTGCAAGTTTGCTTGCTTTTGTAAAAACCCTACAAAAGGGATCAGCCAATAAAATTAAATAAAAATAATTGTACACCAGTTAAAACTATAATTGCAACTGACATAAAAGTACCAAGTGCAGCCTTTTGATGATTGCCAGTACTTTAGAGTCACATTTTACAAGAACCTTTGGGTCATTTTTGTGCTCAAGCAGGTGAACGTGCATGTGAACAATGATATTCTGCCGATCAGCTGTTGGGAGCACATGGAAACTGTCAAAGTCGGTGTAGGGTTGGACCCAAGATGCAGACAGCACGAGCAGCTCCAAGTAAAATAGAAACTTATTTATTTTAACAAACAAAATAAAGCAGCAACAGAAGACAACACTTGGGAAATACGAGAAGAGAACGAGGAGGACCGAGACGTAAGGATAAACCCATGTAATGAGCCGCTGGTGAGGTGGTGACAAGAGACCGTTTAAATAAACTGAGTGAGAGAAGAAAGTGGGAACACCTGGGCTGATTACTGATTGGAGACAGGTGAGGGTGGCAGGCTGACTGGAAAAACACTGAGGAGGTTTACTGGAAGATGGCACAAGAAACACTGGGAAACAAAATAAGACCTCAACTAGAATATTCAAATAAAACCCTAACACAGAAATACAAAAACACAAAAGACGGAACACAACAGAAATAAAACACAAACCATGAAAGGAATAATACTAAGATGAACTAAAATAAAAAAGCACATATGTGACACAAACACTTTGAAAATGGCCAAAACAAGAGCAGTATCAAATAAAATTCTCTCTGTAGAACTTGTGCTTCACAGAAGTGAAAAAAACATGAGTAAATACAGAATAATACAGAGTTGAATGAAAAACAAAAGGATTTGTACCCTGCTGTGTAGTTGGTCCATCTCAATGACCAGTGAGCCCAGGTTGGAGTCAGCCAGCTGCAGTAATCTCTCCGGAGCTTTCTGAGGCGACAACATGTGCTTCAAGACAGACACAGAGATCAAAGAATTAGAAAGAAGAAATCCAACGTTGAGGCCCAGGGTAAGGCTTTGGAACGGTTCTGCTAGAATGAAAGAAAACAAGAGCAAGAACAACAACAAAAAGATTTTCAGTGAGAACTAAACCGCAAAATAGCTGCCAACCGTGTCCTTGTTGAGATTTATTACAAAAGTGTGAACCTGCAGAAAAAGCTAAATTTCAAATAAATATAATTTAGAAAATACAGCAAAAATTATTGTAAACAAGCTTTAGTCCAAAATATTAATGACAGCTTAAACTTAAACTCAACTTAAAGTGAATTCAAAATAAATTGAAAACTACAAGACAAAAGCAGCTTCTTGTCTTGTCTTTTTTTTTTTTGCTTTACTTTTTTTTTTTTAGCAGATTTTGAATCTCAGACAAAAAGTAGCTGTTGTGTAGGTTTCAGCTTTTCTCCTGCAGCTTAAAGACACTAGATGGCACCAACAAGCACACACCTGTGGACCATTCACCTGATGAGCTGCAGGAGTATAAAGGGCAGATGAGGACTTCACTTCGACGCTGGTGCATTATCTGCCGATCAGTAGTAGTATTCCTATCCACTTTACTATCCTAGTGATTTGTAAAGACTAAACGATTGTTCTCACGTTTCAGCTCTGACTCCTGTGTTGCTCTTGTGCCTTGGACCTCCCTGGTTTGATCCTAAGCCTCCTTGTGACTTCTTCAGCCATTATTTGCCTTCCACCACTTTCCCACTGATTTGATGCAACCTTTCTGGGACTCCCTCCTTCGCCATTACTGGAACTACTGGACCCTCGTTCCTATGCTGACCTTTTCCTCCAGCAGTAAGATATAGATATTTCTTCAGACATCCTCAAGGACCAAAACCTTGATAATAACTCTTGTCCTTGCTCTCCAGGGTTCCAGCTGTGTTGCAGCAAATTGTTGATATTCACTCTTTGTAAAACATTAATTGCTCTTGGTCTTGGAGTTGCTCTTTTCGTTCACTACTATCTGGGTATCCTGATAAAACATCCATGACCTTTACATCCCGATCACTTAGTAAATTGTTACAGATAGCATTAGATTAATATAAAGTCACATGAAGCAACACCAGCTAAAATTAAGACCTCATTTACCAAGACATTCAACTTCTAATAGTATATGTTTTTGTTTACCTTAAGCTCCTCCGTCATGTTCTCAAAGCGGTACAGAACCTTATATGGTGGGGGCAGGGGTGTGGTCAGGGTGACATCGGTGAGGATGCGATACAGCCGGTCCATATCGCTTATCAGCAGACCCGAGCACTCATCATCACAGGCTAAAACACACAAAAACACTGTTAGGCATGAAGTACTGAGGCCTGCAATTTGTCTCAGTATCCACAGCGTGGTTTTATGTTTGGGTTGCAAGTGTATACGTTAGGTCGTAAAGAGCTCTGACTCAACCAGTCGGATATTTTTAAACACCGGTCTTATTTTTTGCTCGTGTACAGTTTGTTTACGTTTGAGCTCGGATACGTCAGCGTGTGACTGTGGCACCTGCTTGTGTCGTTTGGCTCAGGCATCAGAAAGACACTACTGCACTGTTGATGCATGAAATCAGTGCAGCAGGGCAAAAGCAATTATGAACACACACACTGCAAGCTCCAAAATACACAAAAAACACAACAGTGCACAAATACGCACCACAAATTTCACAGACACACACTTCCTTTTTTTTTTTTGAAGGATGTGTGATTTTTTTTTTCCCCCTTCAACCTGAAGCTGATTTATTGCATAAATTAAACCTGACAAGGGAAATCAATGATATATTAAACAAAAACTGTTTTAGTCGATCAACTTCCAACACGATCTACAGTAAACACAAATTAAATGTTGGGGTCATGCAGCCTCATGCACGCGCACTAAACACTGTACATTGTTGGTGTATAGAGCTACTCATTATATTTAAAGTTATTTATGGATCTCACTGATGAAGGATTAAAGTCACCACCTTCAGTATAGTGTGAAAACAACTAAACACATGCGAGCTCTGATGTTTAACACAAGCATCACTTACAGTTTGTTATTTTACTTTGCTGTCTGTCTGCTTTGGGCAAATAGTCAAAGACAGGTGTTGTCCTAAATTTTATAAAAAATTGCACATCTGGCTTTTTTAATTAGTTGAAAAGAATGACTTGATAATATTGTAGAGGTGTAAAAAATATATATATATATATATACACACACAAGTAATTTTCTGATTAGGTATGGTTATCATAATATCCTGATTTTAGCATATAATACCAAAAGAAACATTTATAATAATCAGCTAGAAAGTTCCTGTAGAAAAACTTTGACAGGGACTGCCACATTTTAAAATCTTGATTTGACAGTAGCTCTCAGCTACCACCATACCAAATTTCAGCTCAATGTAGCAAAAAAAAAAATATATATATAATAATTGAGTTATAGTAATTTATTTATTTTAAGCTATGGTAGCCATCTTAGATTATTTTTTTTATTTTTATTTTTTTGGATTCAGCATGTGATGGTGAATGTACTCAGCTATAACCTCACCAAATTTAAGCTGTGTATGTGTAAAAATAGCTGAATTAAAGCCATTTAAATTTAGCTTTAGCAGCCATCTTGACTCTTAATTCAACATTTATGGGCAACGCTCTCAGCTACCACCACACCAAATTTCATCTTAATACCTTTAAAAATGGCTGATTTATAGTTTGTTTAAATGAGAAAAATAGTGCCTTTGCAAATTACATCACCATGGTAACTTGAAATGCCAATTACAGTAATAGCACATCACAGTGCCGAGCCAGTCATCATTTCGATATAAAATTTGTGGGGGTACACATTGTGATTCGGGTCGCATTAAAGGTGAAAGAAGTGCAAGAACATTTTCAGGTGGATAATAGGTGGGGCTGCCTTTCTAGGCAGTCCCCAAAAAGTAATTGATCAAACTTTGCACCATCACTGAATAATTTTCTGGGTACTGGTGGAGCAGTATTAGTAATCAGCTTCAAAAAACACCAACAACTGAACTATACTATACGTTCACCTAAAATGAATAGTTTATTCTAGTCGTATGAAGAGTTCTTATGATAGTTCACATCGTTTTTATAATAAATATAATTAAAAACACCACTATAGTAATTCTGAATGTGTTCCATTTTCAGTGTTGCTTTAAAATAAATATTACCAGTCTGGTACATTTTTTCCAGATACTGTTAGTATTTCTGCACAACACCAACTGCTCTACAAACGATTAGCGGATCAAACACCAGTAACATAAAACAAATGTAGTTTAGGCACTTCCCATTTAGAATATTAAAGTTCTATGGTAAATATATTGTGAGTTGAAGTTTTGACACTTTTAATTTGAAAAGGTATTCAGTGTGTAAAGCTCCGTTAAGGTTACCTTTTCTGTTCTGCTTTCACCATGATGACTATTTACACCACAAAAACCACAGAAACTAAAAAGAAAATTAGGGCATATAGAATTTAGTCAATTAAGGTTGATGCATTAGCCAATATACTAAGCTTGTGAGACTTCTCGCAGATTTGTTACTCAAGGTAATTTATTAAGACCAGAATCACCCTCTAGACATCCTCATAAGTTAAATCTAAATTTAATGAATAAATAATCCGATTTTGAACATCGCTTTTCAGATCAACGCAGTGAAAATGCAATAATGCAACAAATGACATGACGTCAATTAATAAAAAGGTAGCTGGATTTCTTTGTAAATTGTGTTACAGCGAACATGAGAATATTTCTGTTTCCTTCTCTCAAGGCTGCCAAGGTCTAGAGCGTGGCCGAGTCTGAATGAAAGAAAAGTCAGTTTAAAAGAAAGACTCTGTGCCACTCAACCTCGTGAACAGCAGTCTGACTGCTCCACTGTGTGGGAACCATCAGAACCAGAACTTGTGATTATGCTTCAGACTCCAAGATGAGTGGTTTGATGTCAGGGTGCCACTGCAGCACTTCCAGTTTAAACTCATGTTCTGTGTCTGAACACAAAGACATGAGCAGGCAATTTTCTTACTGACCTGACAGCAGAGGTTTCACATCAACCTCTGTCTTACAACCTTTTCTTCCATATTCTCATTCACGAGCAAACACTTGCCTCCAGACGTGCTAATGGCACTAAATTGGCCCTGCCATTATGCTCATATTAGGTTTAAATGAGCTCCCGACGACATCGAAATTATTTTCTGAATGACTTGAATCTGACTTCTGCCACAATTTTCTGTCTCCCATGGCAACCAGAGAAAAGGCCTTTTGATTTGCATTTCATTGCCAAAATAAAGAAAAAACTTACAACACTGGGTGACGCTGCAGATGGGTTAAGAAATATTATGACCCAAATAAAGTAAAGTCAAAGATAAACATGATTTCATGTAGTGTGGCTTCCTATTACAGTTGTAAAATCTTTTGGAGTTGGAGGCTAATCTTTATGACGAATTCACGTTAAAATGTAATTCAATCTTAGCAAGCAGATTTCAACCTAGTAACTGAAAAATAAGTTTGTTTGGACAGTTAGTAAAAGTACAATGTAAGAAATGTTACATAAAACAATAACTATCAGATTTTACATATTACAATTTAAGCGTTAAACATAAAAAGTGGTCAAATTTATTTGAATGCAAGAATCCTGTTCCACTAAAAGCTCAAAAGCACTTTTAAGGATGCACCAACACTGATTATCGATATTGGGTATAAGTCTAAAAATGTGTGTATTTTTGTACTTTAAAACATGTACTGTTACTATAGTACTTGGTACCATTTTGCAGTAGTGTGAGTCACCTTTCAGTCAAGTGGTACAAAAAAAAAGCAATGTCAGCTGTGTAGAGGTAACTTTTTTGCGTTGGATGCTATGATTTTCACACTATCGATAATTACGGTGCATCGCCACCACCAACTTTTAAAGTTGTTTGGTAACTGGTAATAAACATCACAAGAAAAAAAACTAAGAAGAAGGGGGAAAAAAAAGCCATGTGGAGTATTTCAAAGTGAACAATGGTGATAAAAGTAAAGTGAACTGCAAATTATGCTCAGCAAAGCTGTCGTGAAGAGCAACCAAATCTAACACTACTGGAATGTAAAAAGTCTTAAAACACTTATTAGTACCCATAACATGTGCCCAATATGGGCAAGTAATCTAAAATAAGTACTTGTATTCTGGGAAAAAAGTGGTATTAGTGCATCATTAGGTTTTTATTGGGGTTTGTAGTTGATTGCGAAAAAGGTGAACGCTAATCTGCACTTGACCCACAGGCGGGGAGTTTGAGATTAAACACAGTCCCAACGGTGCATCTTTCCTGTTTTCCACAAAGATGTTGGATACAAACCAAGTATCAGAAAAAAATACCCTGCAGTGTTGACTTTTTTAAAATAAACTTGTCAAGACTTGTGCAGTCCCACAGAAACACACAGTCCACCTACCAATTTAAATTTATTGGCAAGGTATTTCCAGGAAAAGTTCACTTTGATTGAACCATCTCTGCACCTGGCTACTTACCTGCTTGACACCCAACATAACAAAAACGTTCAATACAGGAATTAAGACACTTCAAAAAACAACAGTTAACAACAACAAAAAAGGTGTTAGTCTTACAGATGATGCCAGATGGTCCACACACATGCCTTCCCATGCACTGGTCACATGAAATCCCTGAGGCCCCAACCCTGCAACGGCACTGGCCCGTTACAGGGTCACATGGTCCGGGCAACGCACCCCACGAGGAACACTTACACTCCTCACAATGGCCACCTGGCATCCTTGGGTTACCATGGTAACCAGTAGCACACCTAAGGAAAAGGAGTGATGCAGAAAGATACTTTAGATATTTAAAAGATAAAGATGCCTACAATTCATCCCTATCAAAAAACTGTAAAAATTTTAATCGAGGCACCACACCATCTAATAATGGAATAAAATGTTTAAACCTTGAATGTGTGCCATTACTAAGCCAAATTTAGGGCAAATAAAGAATACAAAAAAATTACCATTTTTCAAAGGTTTAAAAATTTAATTTAAAATACCTAATTTGATTCTATTCAATTAATTTATAGCAAAAACTAAAGTTTATCCAATAGATATTTGAAGAAGAAAGTAAAATACTGTTGAACATCGATGAGTGATTCTGTAAGTCATCCTCAAAATTCTTAAACAATTTGTTTGAACTCTTCCTGTGACCTGTTCAGAAAATTAATTTTAGACCGAGATCATGAAAATAAAGCGCTGCAGACATTTTAGACAAACCTGGAAAACTAGCTGTGGTGACTCTCTTGATTAGGGTTAAATTCAGTGGTGCTCCTGAGTAAAAATATTTGTGGGGCAGACATTCATTTTCTGAAGATTTTCATAAATTGCATTACAATTTCTGTGAGACTCCAGGTTGGTGGAAATTTTCTGTTCTTTGACTTTCCGCTGTTCTTTTCAATTTTCTGTTCTGGTCCCCTCTTCTCCGTCTACTCCAAATGGATTTAAAAACAGAATATCTCCACTGTTGGTCTCAGCAGGTTTCACTGCAACTAGTCCTGGGTTTAAGCTCACATAAAGTCTAGGTAGAGGTCAAATCAATGTGCTAAAACCTGATGAATATGTCCACAAGGCAGAAAATCAGACGACCCAAATGAAACTCTATTGGACTTGCCCGTTTGGATTACTGACCCTACTGTGCGGATCCACTTGAAGAGTGAGTCACTGAACAGTACTGCCACACAAATAAGTTAAAAAACTGAAGATGAATCACTAAAAATCATTTTAAATTTCACTTAAAATTGTTAAAATAGTTGAAAGCTACACAGAACAAAACAATACAGCTCAGTAAATAAGTCTATCTTCTTCTTCTTCTTCTTCTTTCGGCTTTTCCCTCTTCAGGGGTCACCAAAGACTACTTTCTGGGGCAAATAATTTTCTTGTGGACCGGATCCCGCTGGTTAACTATAATGTAACCAACACAGTCAGAGTACTATCTATTGAACAACAATCTTTGCTTAAAACTATAGCGCTCAATTTTAGACAATACAATAAGCCAATGATCTCATGAACCATTACATGGACTTTTATGAAACTTTCAGGAAGGACTGGATAAAAATCTACAACTGGTTGGCCACCACAGTTGATGTACATTTGCCAACACAAAAAGTCTGCAGCTTACTCAAAATTACTGAGCTGAAGATGTGGTAGTAGCTGAGAGTCGACCTCAACACATACTTTAAACATTAACACATCTCGCTAGATGTGGAGGTGGTGGCCATTGGTAATTAAAACTCATGCAAGGCATATCTTCAAGGAACGCTAAGCCTTTAAGCTTATTAATAATTGTGCTATTGAGTTCGGGGTTTTTTGGCGCATGTATCTCACCTTTCGCAGTATTTTCCTTCATATCCCTCAGGACAAGCAGTACAGCGATAGTCATCAAATCCCTCAGATACACAAGTTGGGCTTAAACTAGATATGGAATAAATTTACACAGGAAGATTTGTAAAGTTTTGGGCAAACAATATTATAATATTAATAAGTTAGTATAAAAAAATAATTTAAGATTGTGGTTGCAACTAAGACAAAGATGAAAGTATGTTTACTTGTTCTCTGGATTGGTAAGAGGGCAGGCACAGGGTTTACAGTCATCAGAAAACCCTCGGACCACACCGTAGAATCCAGGAACACAACGTTCACAGTGTTCCCCCTCTGTGTTGTCTTGACAGTTCTACAAACAAACACACAACATATTGCATCTATGAAGACACTTTATTTCTGTAACCCCTTAAGAATACAGGCAGGAGGTGGAACATCTGGAGAGCTAGTGCAAGAAGAACAACTTTCACATCAAGACGAAGGAGATGACCGTGGACTTCAGATGGAACAAACACACCCACACCAGAATATAGGAGAATCTGTGGTGGAAGTGGTCTCCAGCTACAAGTGTGTTTGCACCTTTGTGTTTGCAAGGGTGTGCACCTGAATGACAACCTCAGCTGGGGCAACAACACCACCAGCCTGATCAAGAAAGCTCATTAAAGACTACTTCCTCAGGTGGCTGAGGCGAGCTGGTCTGGGAAGCTCAGTCCTCACCTCCTTCTACAGGTGTGCAGTGGAGAGCATCCTGTGCGCCAGCATCAACGTGTGGTTTGGAGGCTGCACAGCTGCAGAAAGAAAAGCTTTGCAGAGAGTGGTGAAGGCTGCACAGCTGCAGAAAGAAAAGCTTTGCAGAGAGTGGTGAAGGCTGCACAGAAGACTGTTGGAGTCAGCCTCCCCACCATCACAGACATCTACACCTCCAGATGCAGGAAGAGGGCCACCTGGGCCTAGGTTGGAGCAGTGGGTGGGCATCACTTGGTCAGCCCTCAATTGGTTCAGATCCTACCTCACCGACAGCTTAAATGGGGGTTTTGCAGGGGTCCATCCTGGGTCCCCTCCTATTCTCTCTATACCTGCTGCCATTTGGTGCTATTTTCCGGAAACACAACATACCCTTTCACTTCTACGTCGACGACTGTCAAATTTACTTCCCCCTAAGACACAATGGTACATGCTCTATTCAACCGCTGCTCGACTGCCTGGCTGACATCAGGGACTGGAAGGCATTAAACTTCTTAAGATTCAATGAAAAGAAGTCTTAAGTCATGTTGTTCCCTCCCAATGACACAATCACAAACCACTGCATCGACCTTTCCGCTCTAACCCTGTCAGAAAAACAAAGAGTCACTAATCTGAGTGTGATAATGGACCCTTCCCTGAAACTTAACAATCATGTAAACATGATTGTTAAATCATGTTTCTTCCAACTGAGGCGGCTGTCTAAACTGAAGCCCATATTGTCCAAAAATAACCTGGAGACAGTAATACATGCATTCATTACATCTAGGCTTGATTACTGCAATTTGCTCCTGTTTGGTATCAGTCAGACCTCCATTATACGACTACAACTGGTCCAGAATGCAGCAGCCCGACTTTTAGCCAGTACAGGCAAAAGAGAGCACATTACACCAGTTTTGGCCTCACTGCACTGGTTACCGGTTCACCTTCAAATCCAGTTCAAAATACTCCTGTATGTCTACAAATCGCTGAACAGTCAGAGGCATTAAAACCGACTTTGCATACAGTTTTGTGCTTTGCTTAACTGCTCTAAAATTACGCAAGTTTTTAGATCAGAGACATGGTCATTACATACCAGTACTGAATACACTTAGGGTAGGGAATTGGACTGGCACCATTGGTTGCCTTGTCATCAGAGGTAGAAAATCCTGGTTAACTGCTTTTATGTCAGTTTTTCCATCACGCTCCATGAAAATATTCTTCCTTAAATTGCTGTGCTTGCCTTTGAATCGAGCAATTTAGAGCTTCTTACTGAAATGTTTGACCACATGTTGACAGAAAGGTCAATTTAGTTATTTTCAAATCTTTTTAGAAGCAACTTGTCTTGACCTTTTTCCCTTCACAGAAGATGATGAAAACAGTGACTTTCTCTGAGCAGCTATGATCTTTACGTACAGACTCACAACGATACTGAAAAGTGCCCAGTGTGATCCCAGCTGCTTTTAAAGAACCGAGCATCTCCACCGTCACAGCAAGGGACACAGTCCCCATTTCTCTTTACTTTCTCAGTTTCTCGATTATTCTAGGCTTTCACATGAAAAAAAAAACATCTTTCATCTAGTCTGGACTGTTTTGATCATAAAGCACATTCCTCTACAGACAGTAACGAGGCTCAGTACCCCTCCTGTATTATGAGCCGTTGTAGGAATGCGTGCACCACTATCAAGGTAGAGCTAAGCTCACAAGTAGGGTTTCACACAAATAAAATTATAAAATGGTTTCCTTCACAAGTTATCCAGGATGCTGAGTTTATTAGCAGAAATTGTTAAATGGGACTAAAATTACGAAAAAATTAAAGACAAATGGGATAAACATTTCAACATATTTATATTGGCAAGATTTCCCTTTTTTCTTGACTTCATTTTACAAACATTTATTCATACTAATATCAAATAGGCCAAAATAAAGAATACAGTAGGTTTTACTAACTCTAAAGAGTAAATTAAACGAACTGCTGTAAAATACTCGGCATCAAAAACAACATACTATTCCTAACACACACAATGAACTCACAGAAACACACAACTAAAACCTCTACCGTACACAATTCATTGCTCGCTCTTTATATCCCCACGGCCCCATCTTATGTGTTCGACTTGTTTGTTGAAAATGGGAACTCAGATCTTTACAACAGGAAGTTGTCTCTTAACGAGGCAAGTTATTTCCATTAACTGCCCGAGTTTCTCGTTACTGCTAATTACCACAAAAAGAAGCTCGTTTAGTGTTTTCAATTTAGCCCGCTCGAGTAGAAAATGCTAATGACGTTGTTATTGAAAACTAGATCAGAATGAGCAGGGGAAAAAATGGCTGGGAGGCAAAGTGAGGAAAAAAATGAAACGATGAAAAAGAAAGAAAGAACGAAGGAAACAAATTACTAAAAGAAAAATTAAACAGGAGCTAAAAAAAAAAGAGAGAATTAAAGAGGTAAAGGAGGGTGAAACGGTGGAAAAGTTGCCGCCTCTCAGCGAGAAAGTTGCCGGATCAAATCTCAATTGGGCCATTCTGGGTGGAGTTTGCATGTTCTCTCCGTGCATGAGTGGGTTTTCTCCAGGTGCTCTGGTTTACTCCCACAGACCAAAAACATGCATGTTAGACTGACTGGTAACTAAATTGTCCCTAGGTGTGAGTGAGATAGTGAATGGTTGTTTGTTTCGTTTGTTTTTATGTGTCTCTGTGATGGACTGGAGACCTGTCCAGGGTGTCCCCACCCCTCGAACAGTGACTGCTGGATATGGCCACCAGTGACCCCTGCAACCAGAAAAGGAAGAAGCTGGCAAATGGATGGATGGAAGAGATAAAGGAGAACTGAAAAACAATAAGAGTAAATTCAAAAAACAAATAAAAATTGAGGAAAATAAAAACTTCTGAATATTGTATGAGAATCAATATAAATTAGGTGACTGGATGAAGGAAAACAATGGAAAAGAGGTGAACAAAGAAATAATATTTTACAAAAATTGATAATATCAAGAAAGACCATAATTCGAAAACAAAAAGGTAAAACATTGTCTTGCAAAATCTTTTTGTCTAAAAGTGTGGATACCAAAGACTGTGACTGGAAGATTGATGAAAAATGTAAAATAAACTCAAACACTTTCCATCTTAAATATTTCTAATGATCAGGAGAGAGTGCAATGTTTGCATTAATATTTTAGAGTTAAAAATCAATGAGAAAATTCAATTCAATTCAAAAATACTTTAGTAATCCCAAAGGGAAATTATTTGTTGTTGTAACTCGTTATCCTCGTTTCATTAAGAGATGTTATAGATACTGACGGTTGTAGGCAGGAAGGATCTCCTGCAAAGGTCCATCCCACAGTGGATCCTAAGAAACTGGCTGCAGATGCCATCCGATTTGTCCACCCAAACTCGGCTGGCCTCTCGGTTCCCCCGGGCAACAGGACCGCCCCAATGCTGGGCAGAACTCCACCCAGAGCGACGGCCACTCCTCCCAGCAGTCTGCCGAGCTCCTCGTCACTGCGGACAGCCAACTGTAGGTCCCGAGGGATGATCCTGTCCTTCCGCTGTCATGATCCATGTTTCCTGCTAGTTCCAGGATCTCAGTGGTCAGGCACTCCAGCACAGCTGGCAGGTAGATGAGAATGCGTCCACAGAACATCCTTTTCAACTCATTTGAGATTTGGGGCTGTAGTTGAGATATAATTTGAGCTTTTGAGATGTTAATCAGATGCTGTTGGTTGTAGAAACTGCCTTGTTGCCATGGTTACGCATCATAACAAATGTCCAAAACTAAAAAAGTTTCAGTAAAAATCCTTCCAGCTGCACAGCACCTGATACCAGAGGAAACAATCATCCAAAAAATGTGATTTACATCCAGAAAAAGAGGAATTACAGTTTCCAAAAGCAAAATCTCAAAATTAAATTAACAGAGCTGCTACAACATGCAGCCACCTGGAGCGGCACAATTCTAGAACGCAAAATGAACCTGAGCTCAATTTATTTTATTCTGACTCTATCATTTTAAGAGGAACTTTCAGATATTCTGCAAAACACGGCTGTTTATTTCATAAACGACAGTTTCAGAAGAAAAAAGCTATGTTCTTTCCTAGTTTTTGTAACTAAAAGGATATGTTCACTCTTTATATAAAGTCTCCTATTGGAAACGCAACAGGAAAAATTAACAAGTCGGACTCGACTGTGTCAGTGCTAATTTGAAGTTCCACATACATTTCCAGTGGACGACAGTGAAGGAGTTACGGTTTGACTTCTTTTAGCTTTCAGTGAGTAATGACCAGCCAAACTCAGTAGAGCTTTTAGGAAAAACAAAAACCTGTAACTTAATATAGCTCAACTGTCCATTCAATTGCAAGGCCTTCACTGCAAATATTTTGTTAATAAATCAACTATGATTTATTTATAGAGCCCGTTTCAACAGCCAACAGTTGCATAAAGTGCTTCACAATACAAAAGATAAAATCTAACAATTAAAAACCATACAAAAATGCCACTAGATATTAAAAGCCTGTCTGAATAAAAATGTTTTAAGATTAGAATTAAAAAGAGCCAGACCAGTGATGGAGTCTGAGGTAATTGGTTCCAAAGTCTGAGTGCAACAATTGAAAAGGCCCGGTCATCCCACCGTTTGAACTTGGACTGGGGGACAAAAAGATGTATTAGTTGATCTTAATGTTCTCTTATACTCACGAAAAGCTATTAGATCAGCTAAGTAAGGTGGGGCAAGACCATTAAGAGCTTTAAAAGTGAGCAATAAAACCTTAAAATCAATTCTGAAATGGACTGGAAGCCGTTTATTACCCGTATCTGTTTGCAAGAATATGTCAGATGACTCCCGGATCAATTAAATGCAGTCCAGGATTTTGTGACAGTGTAGTCTGTGTGCAATAATACACTCTTGTTCAATGGTCACACAAAAACCATAAAAGCACAAAGATGTATGGCCTAAAGTAAAAAGAAAAGATTAAAAAAAGAAAGAAAATGCTTGATTTGAGAAAATGAATTATTTGAGGACTAATATGACTCAGTTTGAAACAGCATAACGTCCCTTCCTTTGGATGCAGCTCGCAAGACATTGACAGATTTGTCCACAGCGCCTTCATAAGAGCTTTCAGACTGTAGAAAGTGGTTTTGAGGAGTTAATGGTTAACCCTTTATATAGTAGAGAAATGCAGTAGAGTTCCAAGCAGACAAAAACTGTACAGGAGTGTCAAACTCTGTCACCAAAGGGGAGCAAAATCCAAAACTTGTTTCAAACCAATGGCCAGTTTCAGTCAATAATTTAACTCGAGTCCGATACCCGACATCTTTTCTTGGTTGCAAGTTCCTCAACAAGAGTTCTTGGGCCTCATTTGACATGGCCTGTTGCATTTTTCTCATTAAAATAAAAGATCAGGGAAAAATTCCAACTATTTTTTTTCTTGACTTCAGAATTGGCCGTTATAAGAACTCTGCACTAAATAAAGTATGCTCATTTTTTAAGTAAAGTGAGAAGCAACAAAAAAAAAAACCCTACTTTTAAAATATCATCTTGTGGACCAGATAAGATTTAGGCTATATTTGGCCCTCGAGCCTTGAGCATGACACGTGGATTAGACGAAACATTTAAACAAAAATAGAAACCGTCCAGAGGACCTGACTTAACTTTGTTGGACTTTTTTTTACCTGAATTATTGAGCATAAACTTTAATATTTTAAACCACTTTGGCCCTATGGCTGCCTCAGAGGAGTCGACGGGGGAGAGGGAGGATGCCAGAAACCATCTTTTCACCATCAAACTGGTTGCCACTATGTGAGTAAGACACTTATGGGACTGAGTTTGTTGTGGCTCCTTGGACTGATGAAGTCCTTTGGATAAAAGATGAAAACGTTTCAACAAAAAAAAAAAAAAAAAAAAAGAAAGAAACTGTCCAGAGGACCTGACTTAACGTTGTTGGATTTTTTTACCTGGATTATTGAGCATGAACTTTGATCTTGTTAGATTGTTTCTTTAAGTGCATGAAATATGTTTTAAAGTAGGAATGTAGCTTTAGGTCATATCTAGAAGAACAAAAAAGATAAAACATGTGGCTTAGCCAGGTGGTTGTTAATTATTGTCAGGCTAATTACACTATCAGATATCCTTCCCAATGCACGCGCACACACTCCCCAACACACTGTTTCACTACAATCCTTTCTTCAAAAGCTCAACATATGGCTCCGTCTCCAGCGGCAGGGGGCTCACACACTCATTTACCTGGCATATGGATGTCTCAGGGTCACAAGTGGAAGAGTGCCCGCTGCACTGGCACTGAACGCAGCTGCCCATGCCGGCAGCGGTGGGCACTCTGGACGCTGGAACAGATATCTGCGACCCAGAACGGAGACGGTAGAAACCTGCAGCACACTCCTGCACAGAGGCAAGAAAAATAAAAAACATTAAATAGGAATTTTTTTTTTTTTAGAAACGCACCAAAATCCAGATTTGATAGATAATTTGTGAGTTGGATGTGGAAATACATCCCTAAACACACACAATAGCTCTGACCCACATAATGGTCACTTCTCCAGGCAACAATTGACTGCTCTCCGTTTTGCACACATACACATAATTAGGAGGTATTCACTTCAGTAACTTTTGAACACACACCTTCTTTTGCATACCTATCAATTCATACACACAAACATGCAAGGTAACTCTCTCCCCCTCTCCTGTTCAGTAATAATTAATGGAGTCCATTTAAAGAGCCATCTGTTCTCTCTGCTAGCACTAAACGCCCGTTTAAAAATACTTTATTAGCAACGATGGTAGCTACAAATAGAAGAGCCATCTGTCAGCTGAGACCTCTACGATCCCAGCCTTTCAAGTTTAGCTACAGTTTGTTGTTAAGCTTCCATTTGGCTCTTTGCCCCAACAATATATGTAGCTTCTAATTTATGAACATTTATATTTTCTTCAGGCTGCTTTGCATACAAAGTGCAAATCAAGATACTAAAAATTACAGTAACAAGTTCTCAGGAAAACGTTGTGTTCCTCTAAGATTATTAATAAAAATCAAATGACTGCTGTTAAACAGAATCACACAGGAGTGTAATGTCCAGGTATCAGAGGCCGTCCACACAAACTCCTCATTAAACTAAGAATTGTGTTTGAAGTTCCTGTAGCTTCAGAGATCCGCACAGAGCTGAAGGTCAAACTGATAAAAATCCGAATCGAGATGAGACGCTCAGCGAGGAATAAACCTGGTAAAGGAATTAAAAAGTAAGGACTTAAAATGCTGAAACCAATGTACGGTATATTGGAAACTTGTGGAACTTTATTGCAAGTCAAGTCTATGTTCAAGTTTCTTCCGATGTAACGACAGAACTGTCACCGAGGGAGATGCCTACTTGATGTTTGCAGTATAACTACTAGAACCACAAACATTCTTTATAATGTTGTTGATGCAGTGACTTGTACTTACATAAAATACATTGTACATCCTTAGTAATCTTTTTTAAATATCTATACAATGGTCCCTCACTTATCGCAGGGGTTACATTCCAGACACCCCCGTAATGGGTGAAAATCTGCCAAGTAGGGACATTATATTTACTTTAGTATTTATATACATTTTAAGGCTTTATAAACCCTTCCCACACTCTTGAAATGTTCTTATTGTGGTTACTCCAGGGGTGGACAGGCCATCAGGAGCACCGGGCCATTTCCTGGTGGCCTGGCCCACTCGGTGATCGCCGAGGGGGACTAACAGTTCGGGTCGCACTCGATTATTTTAAACAATCCATGCCGCTCGTGCAGCTCACTCGGGTATAAGACAGACCCGCCGCTCCCTCCTTTCTTTTTCCGAGGCTGTCTGTTGCACGCACGCCTGTGACAGACAGCCTCAGAAAAAGAAAGGAGGGGCGGGGGGTCTGTCTTATACCCGAGTGAGCTACGCTCAGCCACTCTCTTTTTTTAAACTGATTCACTCTTGTTTTTCCATCCAAGCATATTCTCTGCTATTCTACATTTGTTCATCTGTTCTGTTCATCCCTGCTCCCTGTGCAGTAGCAAAGAGGAAAGACAGACCCCACCCCTGCCACTTCCTTTCCCTTTCTGCAGCTGAGCCTTAGAAAGAGAAAGGAGGGGGCGGGTGGGGTCTGTCTTTCCCCACAGCCAATCGTGTGTCGTGTACAATCTTAAGTTGAAAACCAGCGGAAGAGTAAGTCTGCGAAAGTCCAACTGCGACGTATTGAGGGACTACAGTATATTTACAAATCTTGAATTGGAACCGTTTTTTCTTCATATGGCAACAGTTTAAAAATATCAAACGTGCACAATAACATTTCCCACATTTGCAAAAGCCACACCTTTTCACTTGCCATCTAATAAAACTGATTACCGGTATATGGGTTGGAGTTCCAATAAACACCCCATTTGGAAAAGTTATAATCGTGCAGATATTGTGTTTTAATGTGTGTATAGATACGTGCATGTACTATTATTCTGTGCATACCTCACAGGACAGTCCAGAATATCCAGCAGGACAGTCACACTTTTCTATCTGATAGGCTTGCTCATTTTCTTCTGCCGGAGTTCCCGCCTCTGCCACAGTTAAACTGATCTCTGAAATACTTGAAGATGAAGGTCAAAAAGGAATTTGTACAGCACTATAATAAATCCAGCTTTACAATCATTTTGATTAGTGTTTTTTTTTCCTGTCTTTAAAGACATTTGGAAAATCTAAAATGAGGATGAGTTTAGCAGAATGAACAATGTTGATTAATAGCAGCAAAAGGGAAAAGGTTCACTTTCATTCATTTTCTTAACTCTGCTGTCACATTTTACAACAAACAGGCACCCTTTATGGACGTGTGTGTTTGTATGGTGTGTCTGTTTTACCGGCTATTTCTCATCAAGCTGCCGTGTGATGCCTTAATTAGAACATAGTCGACATAGAATAAAATATCCATGAAGTCCTCTCGAGTCAGGGATCGACCATCTGCGTACTTCCACTCGTGCTTTACACAAAAACACACACAAAGTTTTGTATGACGGTCTGGCTGCTGTCAGATGTAAAGTTTATTCCCTTTCGTTTTCTCGCAGTCTGAAAAAACTTGGACCTTAAACACTTGCCAGGCTTTTCTCTTAACATTCCACCTATTGTACCTCGGTCATGTCGATCTCATGGCGGGTTAACTGTCCAATCTGAAGTCCTGGGACGTGGCGCGTCAGCACGACGTTGTGGTTCGGACCACCCTTAATGATAACCTGAGGCTCATAAGAGGAAGGACCAGTTTCATCTCTGGCTTCGTAGTAAACTGCATATTTCAGCTGCCCACCATATGCTGTGATCTAAAAAGACAGTGGAATAAAAAAATAAAATAAAATTGATAGGAGGCCAAAACCATTATTTAAAGCAGATGATTATAAAATGATGCCTTTGTGAAATTCCTCAAATCGTACAGGCTGCGAGCTAAAAACACACTAACGTCGACCAACCAGGCGTCTAAACAAAAGTTTGAATAAGGACAGGAACATTGACACAAACAGCATAACTTGAAATAAGCATTTTTATTTAAAATGTGTTTTGGTCTAATTACATCTGGTATAAATGAGCTGATAATGAATAACGGATCAAGATGAAGGCTGAAACATTTGCTCAAGTGTAGCTTTTAGCGTTTTAACGTTTCCACTCGTGTACAACATTTCTCAGTGTAGAATCAAGGACTTCCTAACCTAATGGGCAAAAAAATGCTTCCTAAAATCACTGCCAACATCTTTCCTCCTAATTTACACAAACACAAAAGCACCTGACCAGCAATTTACCAAAAACTTATGTTTTTACAAAACTGCTCCCGTTTACTCATCAGCGAAAGCACATTGGATTTGCAGCGTCTTGGGGATTCTTACCTTCTTATGAAAGCAGTAAGAGTGGACTTATTTTCATTCATTGCTTCATTTGCCTAAGATTTTTTTGTTAAATTACTAAAATATACTTAATCCTGGTGTCCGCCAAGTTTAATTCCTATAAACATGCATAATATGAAGGAATAAAAGCAACCCCCCCCCCCACCCCACCCCCAAAAAAACAATAAAATAAATACAAAGTCTGCACTTTTACCATGGAACCTGTGAACTGCTCCGGAAGTTTCCAGTAGTAGGGCTCAGATAGAACTGATGTGACCAGATCTGCATGAACCAGGATCTCGGGGTGCTGGAAGCTGACCCCTGTCCTCCTCTCGATGGTGTTGGACTTGTCCACCAAGGGGAGAACCGTCTGTTCCGGTCTCAGAGTTAACTAGAATCCAACAAGTATTAATTATTGTGCTGAAAATGTAAAGCAAATTCAAAGTTTTATGAACTTTTTCTTCAATATAATAATTTACACCGAACATTAAAGTAGAAAATTATATGAAGACATTTTTTCTTTGCCGTAGAGGACTTACATTGCATCTTAAATCAAAACCAATGCAAAAAACAAACACCTTGAAGGTTTTGAGGGTTTTTTTGCCCCCAAATGACCCCTTTGGTGGTCATTTTTTGCTTTAAATGTAATTTTTTCCATAAGTAATTCATGTTTTTTCCTTTAGCTTAAGCTGCTCTTGGTGCAGTAGCATGACGTGGGAGAAGCTGAGAATTATTTGAGTTTACAAAACATAAATCATCACATATGTCATTGAGGAGGAGGAGCAAAGTCAAGATCCTCTGAAACACTAAGATGCCCAGTAAAAAAAACAAAAAAAACAAAACAAAGGCAGCTGTGATTTAAAAAACAAAAACAAAACACCAAACAGTTTGATAAGGAGCTCAGAAACTCCTAAAAAAGCACGTCTTTAAAATTTTATTACACAACAAAGCAGCTAAATTAGGTGGTAAATGAACAAAAAGTCTGTTTGCATAATGGCTTATTTTATCCAGTAAAGATTAATTTCAGTGAATCATTAAAATCATACTGCACTGGTCCAGTTGTTGCAGTTATTCTGGGTAAATAAAAATGCATTTTGTTTATTAAAAAAAAAAATTATTTTACAGAAATCTAATGTAATTTAGTAAAAAAAAAAATTGGCTCAGCTCAAATAAGTTTGATTAAAACTAAATCCTTGAAATATTAGCTTTAGTAAACTCAATGTAAAAAATAAATAAATAAATAAAAATAAAATAAATAAATATATATATACATATATATATACATATATATACATA